ACCATGAATTCGTCATATGAGCTAGAATCGAGGGTTCGGCGGCTTCGTCCGGACCATGGGCAGCAGGATAAGAGAGTTCCGCCTTCCACTGGGAAACTCAATTGATCATCAACAAATAAAATGGGAGGGCAAAAAAAGGATATTCCCATCTCCATGGCAAGTCAACTGGAAGTTGGGAATGGCGAGGAGCAAAAAGTGAAGCCCAACGCGGGGGTTGAACCCGCAACCTTGAGATTAAGAGTCTCACGCTCTGCCGATTGAGCTAGCCCGGCTGGGGTGAAGGAAGAAAGAATCGGATTCTATAGCCGAACGCGGGGGTTGAACCCGCAACCTTGAGATTAAGAGTCTCACGCTCTGCCGATTGAGCTAGCCGGGCTGGTTGTTGAAGATCTCCAAGCATTTTGGCTTTATGTCGGCTGTCGTTAGCTTCAAGGCGATCGAAAATACTGGTGGTGCTGAAAAGCACGAGAGCCGAGAGCCGGCTCTACCGTATAACTCTACCGTGTGAGGTACGCTCCGGATAGCACTGTCCTCCATGAGCAGAGTAGGATGCACCACCTACCTCACATGGTGGATATTTTGCCACTTTTTAGTCGGCATCAACCACGTGAATTGTCATGCCAGGCTTGCGGTGTTTCGGGTGAGAGAAATAAAGAGATAAAAAAAATGGTAGAGAATCTGGGAATCGACCAAAAAGTAAAGCCCAACGCGGGGGTTGAACCCGCAACCTTGAGATTAAGAGTCTCACGCTCTGCCGATTGAGCTAGCCGGGCTGAATTGTTGAGGACTAAAGCAGTGGGTAGCTTCAGATTCCGCTCAGTAAAGTATGTAGCTTTGCTACCATGCTCAGACCCGGTGTGTTGGTGGCACTGTGATTCATTGCAATATCAGCGGATGTGACCCACGCTACATGAATCATTGTGACTGTAGATTTGGGGCATCTCAGTCGGTGTCTGTGCCTTACCTGGTCGACTGGCTGTGCGTCATTGCTGGGCTAGCGAACAGGTGATTGCTCGGGGGGCAACCGTGGGAGCGGCTCGATTGGGGTCTGAGGGATGTACTTAGTAGAGTAGGCACATCGGCCATGCTGAACGGGTGTTTGACTGGCTTCTCATTCGTAAGCGGCTGTGGTACTTGCAGTATCTTGTCTGGGGGGGTGTAGTGGTTGGTATGACGAGCGCAGCATCGACAATGACTTGTTGGGCTTGATTTAGCTTGTATGAACCAGACAGCCTTGTGATCGGTTGTTATTGTGCGTCTGTCTTGTTGCGCTGCGTGACTCTGGTGTATGAGGTGACATCTGTGGGGGGTTGGGCTTTGTTCGTGCTTGTTATATGTAGTTGGTGTAGGCCACGTTTCGATTTAGCGGCCATTGAATGGGCCAACCCGGGTGCATATACATAGATATATCTTGCCCAAAAAGGGATGACGGGGAAATGCCGAAATCGAGGATGAGACGGAATGGCGCAATCATTTCCGAAGGGACCAAGAATAGCCAACCGACACACTGGGTTAAATAGTCGAACGAGTATGCTTGAGGAGAGAAGGCAGTGTTTACTCATATCTCACCGTCTTCCATACGAAGGCCACTTGTGATAGTAGCATTAAGCCCGATTTGGTGGCGTGCATGACTAGTGTCATGTTTGGATATCTAGCCAATGCTACCACCGCTTTCAACAAGTCAGCCCGGCTAGCTCAATCGGCAGAGCGTGAGACTCTTAATCTCAAGGTTGCGGGTTCAACCCCCGCGTTCGGCTATAGAATCCGATTCTTTCTTCCTTCACCCCAGCCGGGCTAGCTCAATCGGCAGAGCGTGAGACTCTTAATCTCAAGGTTGCGGGTTCAACCCCCGCGTTGGGCTTTAACTTTTTCTTTTGATTTTTTTTTTTTTGCCTGTTGGAATGTAGTGGTTGACTCCTGCCTCAATCAAGCATAATAATTCAACCAACCGGCCTGTATTCGGACTGAGAATCCAACGAGTGGTTCGCACCGTGCTCAAGACACGCCTTCACCACAAACCGGAACCCCAAAGAAAGGACCCGCAATTGTCAAGTGTGTCTTTACATTGCCCATCTTACAAGTTGCAAAGCAATACCCCAAGGCGACAGACAATAAGCAATATTTCCTCCTGTCAAGTAAACCCTAATCTTCGTCCAGCATTGTCGAGCTCGACTCTCCAATCATCAAGCCCCGTCTAGCCTTCTCCTCCATCAATTGCCGCACGGTCTCAGTCAAAGCCATCACCTGCTCCTTCAACTGTACGAGCTCAGCCGTGGTACTGTCCACGTGGAGGTTCGGCGCAGTTTCATGGACGGACTGCTTCCAGGCATCGTCGATTTCAAAGTCCACCTCCTCAGCGGCATGCTCCCACTCCTGGACACTATCGTCATCCTCTTCCCCACGGCGCCGGTTCCATCTTATCCGTCTCGCGTCCCGGACCTCGAGGAATGCAGTAATCAGCAGAATAGGCGAGTAGATAATCCCCATGATCACGTCGTTCAACTTGGCATAGTACTGCCGCGGCAACCACCACTCGAAGGGGAGAACTAGAAAGATAATCTCCAGCAAGTTGAAGGCTTCATGGTATTTGTTAGCACCAGCTCAAATCTCAGAGCAACAGAACTTACGAGGTATAAACACGTTTTCGTCAGGAGCTCGGACAAATTGCATGGTCTTCAGCGCAAAGGCGGCCATGTATTCATCAATGGCATTTCCAGAGATGTCCTCATAGGCACTGTTGTACAATGCAATGAGGATATTCAGCAGGACTAGCAATAGTTAGTCACCATAGCGCAGCAGAGAGCGGGATACTCACTCGTCATCACCACGAAGTTGAAAAGGTAGTAGAGAATGATGCCAAAAGGAAAAGCAAAGTCTTCAAAAGTGCCGAACTCCGGACTCTGCATGATACTGTTCGCCATCCCCTGGATGATGCTTCTCGTGATCGGTATGTCATTGTCCACCTGAGCCATACCGATGAAAGCCTGGAAGAAACCTGCCAGCACGACAAAGAGAAGAGCAAAAAATATCAAGCTCTCTTTCATCATGACCCGTAGCACCACAAACATAGCACCGAAGAACCGGAACGAGTCAAGATAGAGCATCATGCGCATCCAGAACATGGGTCCTGCGAAGGCTAGAAAGTTGTAACTGAGCTCATTGAACTTCTGCCGTTCGGCATCATGCACCGACGGGGAATGAGCCAGAGCCACAACTCGCAGAACGAAGGAAACCACCAACAGAGAATAGAGGGTAGAATTGAAAGCGTTCCAGAAATCGATGTAATGCCAACCGACCTTCCAGACCTTGGCGATCTCATCACAAATGAATGCGAGGGTCATGACATAGAGAACACCCTCGACCACATCTAAATCACCAGAGGGATTAACTGTGTTGATGACCTGGGTATATAGACCGAGATACACCAGAGAAAAGAAAATCTGACAAACATTTTGGTAAAGAGGTGTCCGCATGCGATCCGGATGGAAATGAACCTTGAAACTAGTATTGTCCCTCTCCTGGTAGGGCACGAAGTTGGTCGGATTACCCTCCTGCTGGCAGAACCAACCGTTCCAGAGATAGCGGATACACTTCTGGTATCCAGAAGACCCAATCACCCTGAGGGCATGGAGATCAACCGCGCGCTCGATGACATTGGCTGGCACGGTCTCCTCGCCATCGAGGAAGACCGAGTACCGTTTCAGCAAGACCTGCGCAAGGAGGGCATCTTGATCTTCTTCGTTCTCAATTCTGGAAACAATCAGTTTAGTCAGTCCGCGTTTCGCGAGATCAGGATAACCCTACATGCGCTTCGCGATGACTTCACATGCAAGAGCTCGACGTTCATGCAGGTCCGAATCCCAGAGCTCTTCCAGAGCCTGGGTCTTGAACCAACGTAAGCAGACTAGCAGGCAGAAGGGGACACAAGCCCGTAAGTCATCGCCACCCGCCTGACAAGCGGTCTGAATGACGTTCTTGGTGATAATCCGACTGTTGGGAGCGGTGAGAGCATCCTCGTCGACCTCACATGAGATCACCTGCTCGATCTGGTATTTAAGTCGAAGCGCGATCCTGGTCACTTCCTTAGAGGGACGCGTAGCAGAGACCTCATCGTCGGTGAAGGTGGGAAGCACTACCATGGCCATTAGCTTGCCCGACTTCCAGCTCGTATTCCACGCTGGGTTGCACAATGACATGACGTACGACGGTGTCGCTCCATATGCCGACGGTGTCGGGTCCGCACAGGGTCAGTGGTAAAAATATCTCGCCAATGACCCATGTTCTACTGTAGAATCCGAAAGGTCGAACTGGTTGAGAGAAGACTGGGTTGCATGGGAAAAGTCAGGAATTCGGGAGGACAAGCTGAACGAACGAACGGTGATGATCCATGTTGGGTAGACGGTATACCCAAAACGGCGTCTAGTCTAGGTCCAAACAAGTCGAGCATCCCGCCTGCCCCACCAATTTACTGTCCTCAACGACCTTCAGTTTTATGGTACTGCATCAAAGCCACTAACTCACTGCCCACGTGGAATCAAAACCTAGCTACGGCAAGCGTGGCTGGAAGAATTATCCTCCCACTCCCAACTCCCACACCTGGTAACAACGACCTCATCAGGCGTATAGATATCATAATAGTCAATGAAAGAACAGCAGAAAAGGGGATTTGAGTCAGTGTCTAACATGGCCACTGGCGTGAAATCGTAGATCAAAGAAGCTTATGTACACCAGAATCTGCGAAGCTCCTCTCGGTCGGAGGCCAGTCACCACCAGAGGGATAACCAGCAGCTACTGGCTTCTCAACACATGAGACCGAAGGTTGCCCTCGTTCCTCATATGGTCTCGACCATCGCCGATGATCTCGATTCGCCCCGTCGCGCGTCAAACCGTACCTCCGTCTCATAAAATCGTGTCACGTCCAAAAACTCTATTGAACTTTTCCGATCCCTGTCCATCGTGCTCAACCATGTCCTCTGATACTCGATACTGATTTAATCAAAGTTCGTTAGACGAACTGTTGTATCCTCCACCGTTCATCATCATTTGAGCAAGCCCGTAGACCACCAGACGGTATCAGTCGGCATACCCATGCGCAATTTACTCAAGGTTGCCCTCATCGCTCTCGGAGTCATCCTCATCACCGCTGACCAACATGACCTCACGCTCACGCTTCTCCATGAGCTCCTGGAGGGCAGCATCGTCGTGCTCGGTAACAGCCTTGGGAGCCATCTTAACTGTGCAGGCACCACCGGACTCCTTGATCTTGGCCTCAATCCGTTGAATGGCCTCTTCGAGCTGCTGGATACCAATAGCCTTGTCCAAGCACTGGCTGGTCAAGACGTACAAAGGAGGGGCGACCAGCTTGACCTTGATCTGGCTTTCGGCGTTGTTGTTGGCCTCGGCAGTGCGCAGGGCCTCCTTGACGGCATCGATACCATCGTAGCCGAAGCAGGTAACCTCGATATCGGCACGGACCTTGGTGGGGTGAGGGGTAAGTCTCTTGCTGATATAATGCGTCAACTCCTTCTTGACGGCTTCGCTGGGGAATTCGACGTCGTTCCACACATCGGGGTTCCTAAGATAACCATAAGTTACACGACCCATCAATGGCATTGTTGCCCGCTAGTGCAGCCTTACGTGATGGAGATCTTGAAAGCATCGTGGGAGTGGCCGTATTTGCGGTTCAAGGGCCATCCGATCTGCTGGTATAGGGTCTCAAGAGGGGTCTGGGTGGCCTCGGCGACATGGCGCATGATGGAGTGCACAGCCTTGCTCTTGTTATATCTCTCCTCACACTTGATAACATCCTCAGGGGAAACACGACGCTTGGACAGATCAATATAACCTGATGACGGGGAACAAAGAGATGTCAGCGGGCTCCAGGTCAATGACGATCAGATCAGTTGCCCTTACCCTTCTCCTTGTCCACACGGAGCACAATGACGACCTCGTTACGGCCAATACGGATGAGCTTCTGGATACTGCGGATACGTCTGCGCGACAGTTCGGAGAGCAGGATCATGCCGTCGATGTTGTCATATTCCAGCAGCTTCACGTATGCGCCCATTTCGGCGATCTAAGCATTGCAGAACCGCGACTGTCAGCCAGTGTTTCCTGCCCTCACTTCTCCCAGTTCCAGCAGATGCGTACCTGCTTCACATTGACCATGACATAGCTGTCCACCTCCGGGTACTTCTCCTCGTAAAAACGGGAATTTGTCAACGACATTTTCGGCGGGGTTGCGCCTTGTGCTAGGCAGAGCTTTGAGCGGGGTTGAAAGGTCGGACTGGGGGCCGAGAGACAATGGGATAAACCGAGACTGGACGGTCTCAAGTCGATATTGCCGGAAGAACCACCGAAAGGGGAGCGAAGGTGTTTGCGAGATGGGGTAATGAGGCTTGCCACTTAATCGGGATCACAGAAGCACATTTCGAAAAACCCACATTTGGGCCTCGCGCTTGGCTGAGTCATCACGTGCCGTGCTGGCGACCTTCACCGCTCGGCAGAACCCCCCCGATAGCAGGTTGTTATCGCCTGGCCGAACGGGGAGCAGGCAGGCAGGCATTACTTCATCCCCAACCTTTCAACATTACCTTTCTTTGCCTCTTCACTCTCTTGCATGCGTGTGGTGGCGGGGTGAAAGAGATTGGAAGGTAGGTCCAGCTTCAGACACGTTGCTCGGCACCGATTTTCTTTTCTCTTCTGCTCCATCGGTCTTTTGGTATGTGACTTCGTCCAATGTCTATCCTATCCTATCCTATAGCTTGACTCGCTCGCTCCGCCTATCTGCTGACGATCCCGCTAACTCTCTTAGCAGTAGCCACCGCGCCCTGCGCTACGGATTTTCGCGCTTTTTGACTCGCTGCTTTGCCCTGGACAGTCCATCTCTTAGTTGTGCTGTCTTGGTCGCTTCATTCTTTGGAAATATTTTTGCTATCTATTTAGTTTCCACCACATCTGCCGCATATGGCGTATAACGCACTCCTCTAGACTGTCGCATTCCAGATATATTTGGTGACTCGGTGGATCTTCCCCGCGACACTATGCCGGAGACAAACGAGCATCTCCGACAACACCGCTCTTTGCGGGACCAGATCGTGGGACTTTTCCAAGGATTTCCGCAAAGTAGCTCTGATGCCTCCCACGCAGAACGGACCATCGTGCCCCGAGAACCCAGCGATAGAACCCGTTTGCTGAAATCCTACGATGGTGACGACCCTGCATGTGGTCTGAGAGATGCCTGCAACCACGGTACATTCTCACCAAGACCAGGTAGTGAGGAATATGAGGATGGTACTCCTGGGCCAGGTTTTGTTCAGGGGCCCGAGAATATGCCCAGGACAGGGTCAACGGCAGCCTGGCCTGCGAAAAGCCCCAGGTCTCTGTATGTTTGGACCTCGAGTCGATCTAACGGGCCTCAAATGCTGATGACAACAACCTCCAGGTATATCTCATACTACATCCCGTTCTTTAACTGGATACCTCAATATCGGTGGTCGTTCCTGCGCGGCGATCTTATCTCCGCCTTGACAATCGCATCGATCTATATCCCAATGGCCCTTTCTTTGGCCTCGAATCTTGCTCATGCGCCCGCGATCAACGGACTCTACTCTTTCGTGTTCCAACCTTTTATCTACGCGATCCTTGGAAGTAGCCCCTTGTTGCTTCTCGGCCCAGAAGCGGCTGGGTCTCTGTTGACAGGTACCATTGTCAAAACGAGTGTCTCGCAGGGACTGTCACGAGAGGACGACGAAGCTGCGAGCGCCATGGTTGTCGGTGTCGCAACTGCCATGGCAGGCTCAATGATACTGGTTGCTGGATTGACCCGGTTAGGCTTCCTTGACAACGTCTTGAGCCGACCGTTTCTCAGAGGTTTCATCACCGCAATTGGCTGTGTCATCTTTGTCGACCAGCTCATCCCAGAAGTGGGCTTAGCTGATCTGGCGAGGGATGCGGGCGTCAGTCATGGAAGTACAGCAGAGAAGCTCGTCTTCCTGCTCAGGAATATCAAGAGCTGCCATGGTCTGACAGCTGCAGTCTCCTTTACCAGCTTCACGATAATCATGCTTTTCAGGTACGTGATTTCCACCCGCCCCCATGGAATGGTTGAGTCTCTGACATGCGCATCACGCAGAACACTCAAGAAATTTTTGGAGCCACGGTTCCCTCAGGTTGTCTACTTCCCCGACCGGATTATCGTTGTCATCTTGTCAGCAGTTCTTACCTGGCATCTCGGCTGGTATGAGAAGGGGCTTGAAATCCTTGGGCCCGTCCAGGAGACAGGCAATGGGATCTTTGCATTCAACTGGCCTTTCCAATTCCAGCATATGAAGCATGTACGGACAGCCTTGAGTACTTCCTTTGTCATTGCATTGCTTGGCTTCTTTGAGTCCTCCGTTGCTGCCAAAGGGCTGGGCGAGAAACGAGATGGAGTGCAGGGCATGCCCGTGAGCGCCAACAGAGAAATGGTGGCGCTAGGCGTTGCCAATGTTGTTGGTGGCTGTTTCATGGCGCTTCCTGCATTCGGTGGTTACGGGAGAAGCAAGTTGAATGCTTCCACAGGGGCGCGATCTCCGATGAGCAGTATCTTTCTGAGCATCATCACCGCCGTTTGTATTAAGGTGATCCTGCCTTACCTGTACTATTTACCGGTGAGTTGGTCCCTACACTTACACCACTTGATTACCAACTGACGGCATATTCCAGAAAGCCGTGCTTTCCTCTACAATCTCAGTGGTGGCATACAGTCTAATAGAGGAGTGTCCTCATGATGTGGCTTTCTTCATTCGCCTGCGTGGCTGGACAGAGCTCACATTGATGATTCTTATCTTCGGCTCGACAATCTTTTACTCCCTGGAACTGGGCATTGCTCTCGGAATCGGATTGTCTATTCTGATCCTGATTCGCCACTCGACCCAGCCTCGAATTCAGATTCTTGGTAAGGTCGCCGGTACCAGTGATCGATTCGACAACGCCGAGCTCCATGGGGAGAATGTGGAGCTCATCGAGGGTGCGCTTATCGTCAAAATCCCGGAGCCTCTCACGTTCGCCAACACCGGCGACCTGAAGAATCGTCTGCGCCGGCTCGAGTTCTACGGCACCAACCAAGCGCACCCTTCTCTCCCGCGCTCACGGCCTCCCGAGCATAACAAGAACATCATCTTCGACGTGCACGGGGTCACTAGCATCGACGGCTCCGGGACGCAGGTTCTCTCCGAGATTGTGAATGAGTATCTCAACCTCGGAGTGAGAGTGTTCTTCTGCCGTCTTCCCAATCGCAATGTCTTCCGCATGTTCGAAAGGAGCGGCATCGTCGACCGCTGCGGCGGCATGCAATACTTTGTGCACAGTGTTGACGAAGCACTGAGACTTGCCGAAGCTGAGGGTGGACCATTGGAGCCTTGAGCCCCTCGTCGCAAGGCGAGCCAAGTTCGCCTCTAGGAGGTTTGTTCGCGTTTGGTCCCCCCCCAGATCAACGGCATGTATAGACGTGACACGTGTTTCCGATATATCGCTTGACCTTTTTTTTTTTTTTTTTTGGCTGTTTATAGCCTCCGTTAGATTTGCTGATAGCGATGGGAGCCTCAGAGCTCCAACCCTTGGTAATTTGATTAGAGCTTACCTGGTTGTTTCCTGCGTAAGGAGAAGTCACGGCTGGTCGCATGCTTCATTCAGCCTTCAAGACCCCTGACTCTCACCCTCCCCCCCGGCTGCCCTCCGTACCACATCTAGAAGCAGCATCTCCGCGGCGCGCAAGGCAACTCGATCCTTAAGACTCAACGCAGTAGCACCAGCAGCAACGGGAGGGACCCCCCTCTCCTCCTCGTCTGCCTCCTCATCATCCTCAGCACCCACCTGCCCAGCACCAGCACCAGCACCAGCACCGACAACCCCGACCAACTTCATCTTCCCATCCGCGCCCAACATAAACCCCCCACAACTGACCCTCGTCACACTCACTACATCCCTACCCCCAAGACCCTTCCCCTCTTTCAAATCCACCCTCATCGCCAAATGCGTATCCAAATACCCCGCGATCTTCCCCAACACATCCCCACCACCACCATCCTCACCCCCTAGCTGATCCGCAAAACCCCCCGCAACCAACCCCCCCACCACCCCGCGCGGCACACAAACATCCAGCCCGCGCAACCCCGGCGCCACGGGCCCCTGAAACCCCAACATGATGTGCACATCCCGAACCACCGCCCCGACGACCTCTTCTCCGGAAACCCCAGCACCCGCTCTGCGAACCTCCCCCACAAGGCAGGAGAGATACCCCTCCAACGACCTCCCCAAAAACCCAGACGGGAGCGTCAAGCCCGCGGCGTACGTGTCGAACGTCGTGGACAAGAACCCCAAGAGTGTCTGGCGGAGCAGGGCGGGGAGCCTGGTGAGGAGGAGCGGGAGATGGGTGGTTTGGGTGTGGGCGTGCGAGCGGAGGGTTCGTTGCGGTGCGGCGCTGGCGCTTGACGGAGAGGTTGTTGTTTCTGGGAAGGTGGAGGTGGTGGTGGAGGATACGGCGGAGGGCGTGAGGAGGGCCGCGCGGTAGGTTTGGGTTTCGTAGGTCAGCGTGATTAGGATGCCGGCGCCGGGGGTGCCGGGGGTGGTTGCTGGGCGGCGCGGGCGGCCGCGGGGGCGTTGGGCGGTTGGGCGGTTGGTGTTGTTGTTGTTGTTGTTGTTGTTGTTGTTTGTTGTGATGGTGTTTGTGGAGGGGAAGGAGGGCGAGGGCGAGGGTGAGGGGTCCGCGTTGGATATGGTGGCGGTGGTCGTGGTATGGCCGGACAGGGAGAGTGTGGGGATGGGTTCCCAGGTGCAGGAGAGTAAGGCGCCGGTTTTGGAAGCAGATGACGGGTCTGTCTCGTCGGAGGCACCGCCGCCGCCGCCTATTTGGAAGGTTGCGCCTGAGACGGAGGAGGTGCCGGTGAGGTGGTCGCAAAGACGGGCTGCGTAGGTCTTCAGGGCGTCGTTGTTGTCGAGGAGGGAGGGGAATTCTTTGCCATGGTGGAGCGGAGAGAGTCGGTGTAACGTCCAGGTTGTGTTGAGAAGGCTCAGTTGGGCCATTGTTGCTTTGAATTGTGATAGGTACTATTTTTTGTTATTGTTATGGTCGAAGGAGAGGGAGGAAGGGGAGCGGAGGAGAGTTTCACATGTCGCGCCGCGGACTTGGTCGATGTCAGTTCGGAAGAAAACATCTCTTGGCAGGGAAGCTCTCTCCAGCGGCCGTTAAGTTAACCTTAATTTCTCCGGGGAACGAGCCCGCGTCTGCCAAGAATTAATTAAGTCCCAAGAATTCTAACTTTCTCACAACATATCACAGTCAATAATCTGATTTGGAGTCTTGTGCCGAATCCGAAACATGCTATCAATTCAAATTGACGCTGCGGCAGTGCAGTCATAAAGTTGACACCCGCTTCGTCTCCCGCCATCATACACCAAAATCCCCCACCCCCCCCCCGCTGGAACGCCTTGCCTCAAAAAACAGAGAAATTGCAGGATAACGCAGCGCTTGCTAAACCCAAAACGGAAAGATTCACGCATGCCAGCCCTCTCTCACGCGGCACTCGCGACAGGACAATAAGACAGGCAGCCCGTTCCAGACCATGACGCGATCGACATCATGGGGCGCCGCATGCCTCGAAGCCAGCTCTTCCCCGACCACATCGAACCAGACGTCTTCCACGGATCCGTGGAGGTGGACGTTTGGCGAAATCTGGAACACCAAGGACTGGATGTCGTCCTTCTCGTTCAAAGTGATATCGTTGTGGAAATTGTGCATAAACTCCTTTCGCTGCATCCGCTGGCTCCCGCCGTCCCCGATCTCTGCAGAGAAATACTCCACGATCCGCGAGAATGGGGATACGGTGAGCAGTGACCCGATCCAACTGTCATCCGACACCGTAGGCTCATCCGGTGGTACCGTATACCGCAGGTAAGAGACTAGGAGTTGCATGCAGTGGTGCGTGGCGATAAGAGTCGCCGTGTCGGTGAACGGGGGTGCCTTGATTATCTTTACTTGCAGCTCCCGGTACATGACTTTACGAATGTGAGGGGGGATGGGAACCGGAAGACGTCCGGCCTCGAATTCTCGTAGGAGGATGTTGGTTTGCTCTCGTCTGGCGAGAGCATAGGTTTCCAGGAAGTAGAGAGCATAGTACCTGGGGGATAAGAAAAATTTGTCAGCGGAATACCATCGGAGACAAGTCGCAGGGCGATACTCACATCAGGGGAGTGAGGTAGAACCATAACCGCGCGGCCGTCTGCTGCACAAAAGCATATCGCTCGGCCTTGGAGGAGAAAACGGACTTCATGAAGCCTGGCTCACTGTGCACGAACCGATCCATGACACGATCCGCAAGGTAGCAGCTCAACTTTGAACATTGCTTCTGCCGACGGCGCAAACTGAAGATGTACTTGAAGGTGTAGATATGGCCCCCCCTGGCACTTTTCGCCGGAGGGAACAGGTCCGACAGAAGCACTACATCATCCTCCGGACTTCTAGTATAGGTTTTCTCGCCGTCGATAGGGGAAGGAAGCGTTCCGCCGCGGCGTTGTCGCAGATACTGGCGCGTGATCCATTGTTCTTGGGAGGTAAGCAGCTGGTAGAATGACTTGCAGACCAGCTTCAGTGGTAGTAGATCGGTGACGCCGCAGTGGGCGAATATCTTGATCTGGATTTCAACGGGGAGGAGGTCCCAGGGGGCCGAGGTCGGTACTATGTCCACTCTGTCAACAATGGGAAAACCCACGTCAGTAACGAGCACGCCTCGAGGCTTGAGCGTCGGTCATCAATCTTCAGCAGGGGCGATCCAACGTACAACGACACGGAAGATGGCACTGCACCGGGTTTGGAGGAATTGCTCTTCTTGGCGTCGGATCTCTTGCCTCTGTTGATGGCAGCGCGTGCTTTTTTGGCTTGCAGCATAAAATTGTGGAATGTACTCATCGTCAAGTACCGTTAGACATGAGGAGGCCAGCTCCGACTTCAGCACTTTTAGAATAGACAGCTTGACACCATAGAGAGCCCTGATCCCTCTCGTCGATCGTTTAAAAGGGATTCTCCACTGGCGCCTTTTGGGGGTAGAGGGGCGATGACTAAGCAGGGCTGAGCGAGAGGATTGTTGCTAATTTAAAAGCAGGCCACGAATAGAAGCGGAGCACACGGGGTGTATAGGCCGTGAGAGGTGAATCTGGGTGTGTCTGAAGGTAAAAAGAGGCGAGATCATGTTCGAAAGATGAGACTAGAGAAGGAGAGAGAAGGAGACGGAGGCAGATGCGGTCGTCTGAAACTGACTGCTAATTGGGGGCTGGATTCACTACTCGTGGCGACTGAGTGCAGTAGATGACCAGTCAAGCGCTGCAATCGCGTAGAATTCCGCTTAAGCGGCGGCTAACCATGAGACAACATTGTCTAATGACAGATGAGAAGGGGGCGATGATTTTATGTCAACTTCTCAGACATGCGTGCATAAAAAGGTAATCAAAGGATTGGGGAGGGGTAAGCAGCCGTGTCACAATCCGGAGTCGGACTTACGTCATTAGGAACAGGGGTCAGCACCAGCTATTGTTCACTTCTTCGACAACGCGGGGCACGCTGGGCATCATTCTTGCCCTGCACAACTCATTGAATCTGAGAATCCAATTCAGGACCCCGAACTCTCAAACTTCGCCCTTTGTACTGAGACAACAAGTCTTGCCGATACGAACTATGTCCGAGAATATCCTCATCGTCGGTGCTACCAGAGGCTTGGGGTCGTCCCTCAGGACTCTGTATGCAGGGAGACAATCCACGAAGACAGTTTTCGCAACGACCCGTGATTCTACGAAGCCAAAAGACGAGCCTCTCGTCTCATGGATCGCGAACATTGACGTGTCCAAGCCTGATGTCGGCCAAAGTTTGGTTTCCCAGTTGCCCTCATCCGCCAAGATCTCAACTGTCATCATCTCCGCGGGCTATTTTGGGTTCGAGACATTCGATGATCCCGATTGGGAGAAACAAGTCAAGATGTATACCACCTCTGCTATTGGGCCTGTGTTCCTAGTCCATCATCTGGTCAAAGCCGGACTCTTGGATGCTGGTAGCAAGATAATTCTGGTCAGTAGCGAGAGTGGAAGCATTACGCTGCGTCATGAGAAGGAGGGCGGCGGAAATTATGGCCACCATGCCAGCAAAGCAGCTCTTAATATGGTTGGGAAGCTGCTGAGTTTGGATCTCAAAGACAAAGAAATTGCCGTCGGCATAGTTCATCCTGGGTTTATGCGCACAGAGATGACAAAGGGTGTGGGATTTGACAAGTACTGGGATGCTGGCGGAGGTAGGTCGTCGACTCGTTTGCATGTGTCACTTGTTTCTCGTTTAGGACACACTGACCGCTTGTCCTTGCAGCTGTCACCCCAGATGAGGCAGCAAAATCGCTCGCTTCATTTACAGACACGTTTGACATCAGCAAGACCGGACAATACTGGGCACCGCGGGGCCCTAGGTTTGTGTAACCTTGTTGAATATTCTGGGAACCAAGCTAACCTGGCCAGGGACATTGGGACTGCTGAGCCTGTCCTAGGTAGCAACTTGCCGACACCACTCCAACTGCCCTGGTAGAGAGCTTTTTGGCACGTTGAAGCTGGGGCTGGTACTGTGGTGACCAGAAGGTTCCGGTTCCTCGTTTGAAAGTAGCTTATTGATTGGTACAACTGGACATACTCTGTGCAGGATTTCATCGATACCAGGCATCAATTGCTTGTTGTAGGATCGGAAAGTACTGTCAGTTGAGATCAGTTGGAGGTCTAGCCTATAGAGCTCTGGTCCATTTAGCGAGACAGGGGTGAATCTGGGTATGTATAGAGAGGAAAAATACATCGGATCTCCCATGAGTTATAACTTGTATATCAGCTGGAGCTGGAGCCAAAGAATGCCGAGTGGAGGTCGGTCAAGAGGGATCGAGCAGCGAAAAAAGAAATCGTCTTGCATCATCCGTGAATCGAACACGGGCCTCATCGATGGCAACGATGAATTCTACCACTAGACCAATGATGCTTATTGTTGAATACAATGCAGGCCGTACATCAATAGGGCTGTGTTTTGGAAAGGACGTTTAGCAGTGGTGGTTAACAGCTTGGTCACAAATTCCAGCTAACCTGTTAAGTGCTTGTGTTGCCATGTCGCATCTGTCGCATCTCAACACGGGTCCGACAATGTCGCCTTGCAATTATATTCACCGGTATAATGTCTCTTGAATGAAGATTTGGCATGTCTGGGCATTCATAACATTTCAACTCACAGCCATAAAGCAGGTTTTCCGACCCGTGATCTGCAGGCACATGAGGAATGCCATCCCGAGCCGATAATGACATATTGTTCGGTCTAGGCGGGAATCGCCTTCATGCCAGCTCGATGTCTGCATTCATGCTTCGAAGTCTAGAGCTCAGCGCAGGGATATGCCCCTTTCCAGGAGGAACATTCAATTGACAAAGATGTAGAAGGTGTGCCGACTGTTCTGTTTGTCACGCAAACCATGAGCATGTTGATCGAGGATTGGAATAGACCCGGATCATCATTGAGGTAGGAACCAACTTCTGGTTCTAGTAATTGAGATTAGCAGCGGTCAGTATGCGATCCAGCGGAAATATGCGTATGACCCACAACCAAAGCACAATTGCCTGAGGCCAACGATTGTACCAACGATTGTAGTGGGATTGCCACCTTAACTTCTTCTCTAAGCCAATGCTACTATCCATTCCAGTCCTTGTACCGCCTTTGGGGTCACATTATAGCATGACGCTAATTCCATCATGTTGTTATTCATCCCATAAATCAATGTAGGACCTGCATGAAGCACCCTTTGTCGCGTTTGAGCATACCCCAGATCAGGAAATCGGGTTTGACTTCTTCGTGGCACAGGGCAGCACTGAGTAGTTCAACCTTAGCCCAACGACACACGAAGGATCATGACACAGCCCCGTCGCGCCCGATCCCTTGGCGGAAAAAGTGGGGCCATGCTCCGTGCCTTGCTTTCCACCAGTCAGTGACTCAGTATCCTTAACTAGAAGACAATGGGAAGTCATATCGGGTGACACAGCAGATCACAGGATAAGTTGTTGAAACAGCTCGTTTGCTGCGGTATATACTTTGTCCAACGGGCTCAGCCCGCCGGGCGTATCTTTTACAATTTCCAATGCCGAACATTCGTCGCATTTCGCGCTAGATCCTTCGCTTTTCCTCGGGGGAAAGTGAACGTATGCCAAGGTTGACAACACTAGTCTCCAAGGCGGGTCCACGGTCAAAAGACTCAATAGTCAATAGGGCTGTGCACCGCAGAGCCTCAGATGCGACGGGAGATACGTACCCATTGACCTACCCAAATGATGACCAGTCGAGGGACTAGAAAACGTCTGGAAGTATTGGTCCCTTCACGTGGACAGGATGACAGAAGATCTGGGTGCCCCGCTCAACGAGGCACAGTATCCCAGGGTACCAGGGCAACGATGCAGAGGAATGTCGAGCCAACCAACGTTGCATAGGGGCATCCCGATCGTCCCGTCCATGTGTTGAGTGTACAGTTTTGATGTAGGGATTGAATCCGTATGGTTGACCAGCTCTTTTTGCCTTTAGCAAGTGATGTAATAGGTGATCGATATTGGCTAGTGAATGGCTCAGAGACTTGAGACCGGATAAGACGGCCATTTTCTTAATTGGCACGCATTGGTTCTCTTGCGGACTAGTCTCTAGGCTGAACGCTAGGCCATGAACCAAGATGGTCTGCTGTGAAGAGAGGGCTTTCAGTGACCTATGATGAAGATTGATGTGGGGAGCTGAGGAACTCTAAGAGTATCAAAGGTTCATGAAGTCTGCCTCAAGGAGCTCTAAGCCTCCCGACTTCCGAAGACAAGGACGAGAGGCGTGAATCTCTGCTGCTCTTATGATGGATGGGTTCTGAGCTCAGCCTTGGACCCTGTTCCAATGAGAGCGACAGCATGATCAGATTTGAGTTGGCCAAGAGGCGGCCTGAGGAATCAAGGGCCCCAAGGGCTCCAAGGGCCTCTAAAGCGGCAGCCCCGAGTAGCCTAGTTGGAAGGAATGGGCCAGACCCCACAGCTGGGCGAAGCCAACTTAGATCCACTTGATAGTTGATAACCTGATAACCCCTTAGCTCATGCGGAGAAAGAACATCTGATCTCCGGGCAAGTGACATGGAAGGATCGATGAATGACGGTACCTAGTAGAAGCCGTTGGCAGCCCTGGCTGTTTTGAGCTTTGAGACCAAACGAAAAGTAAAATGTCCGACAGCTGCGCGCGCCCCTCCCATGGTCGGACGACTTACACTCACACCCCAGCTCGACGAGTACTAGTATTTAATGATCTCTTCCCCTCCTTCACGGCCCTCCTTTCTGACTTCATCATTTCATCCATCGATCATCCCTCAATTTAACCTTGCAGATATCTTGAGGTATCTTACATCCCCTTGCTTGGTAGATATCATACTACTACAGCTATCCGACTATTGTATACAAACGGTCGTGCATAAATCATCGTCACTCATACAACCTGAAACACATACCAATCATGTCCGACATCAATGGAAAAGCGCCTGTTCAACCGGTGGACCCCCGCCCCTCGGCTTCGGCACGCAATAATTTGGTCAACGTGCAACCGGCGCGCCTGGAGGATTTGCAGCCCAAGTACGCTCAGCAAATTCAGCACAGCGAGGACAATCCAGATGCGCATGGCTGGTACGCCGGATTCAGTGAGTGCACTCGATTAAATAAGATCCCTGTTCTTCCTAGATCCCCGGTCTAACAAAGCACCTTCTGGGTAGTTCACGGACTGGGAGAATTTATCGGGTGTCTGGGTGCCATACCATGCTGCTTCTGTTGCCCAAACCCCTTCAAGCCGGTCGCACAAGGTGAAGTCGGCTTGATCACAAGATTCGGACGGTATGTGACCTTCGCTCTCCTTTGTACTCCCATGCCTTCGTTGAACCGCACATACTGATGCTTCGCGCTCTTAGATTCGAACGCGCCGTCGACCCTGGTCTCGTCAAGGTGAACCCTCTAAGTGAGCACCTCACGGCTGTCGACGTCAAGATCCAGATTGTTGAAGTGCCTCGCCAGAGCTGCATGACCAAGGATAACGTCAATTTGAACCTGAGCTCCGTTATCTACTATCAGATTGTCTCGCCCCACAAGGCTGCGTTCGGTATTTCCAACATCCGACAAGCGCTCGTAGAGCGCACTCAAACCACCTTGCGCCATGTGATCGGAGCGCGGGTTCTGCAAGATGTGATCGAGCGCCGTGAAGAAATTGCTCAGTCGACATCGGAGATCATCGAGGACGTGGCCTCCGGATGGGGTGTCGCAGTCGAGTCGATGCTCATCAAGGATATCATTTTTAGCAATGACTTGCAAGACTCACTCTCTATGGCTGCGCAGTCCAAGCGTATCGGTGAGAGTAAGGTTATCGCTGCCCGGGCTGAAGTAGAGTCGGCCAAGCTTATGCGTCAGGTATGTTCCAAGTGCTGTTCCCGCTACATCCAAGTCGCCGTGACTAACTCAAACCTTTTAGGCCGCCGATATCCTGTCCTCGGCTCCTGCTATGCAGATCCGCTACCTTGAGGCGATGCAGGCCATGGCCAAGACGGCCAATAGCAAGGTCATCTTCCTCCCAGCAATGAACCAGACTGTGCAGCAGCAGCTTGCAGCAGCAGAGAATGCTGGGGAGGGACCAAGCCGATATGGACAACAAGTCGAAGATGGCTTTCAGCAGGCAATGAATGCACGTGTGGTCGAGGATATCTAGAGCAGCACTGCGTTGTTTCTGTGATATCGCGGAGGTTGATGCTTAGGTTGATGAGCTTGATGGAGATGTCGCGTGGTTGGAGCTGACTGGACCCTACCCATGACGTCCTTTAAGACAGCGTTGCTGCTGCTACATTGTGCTTTCCACGTGGATGCTGCAGCTTGCATTCATACGCGGATGATTATGACGATACCCACCCTCGTTTTCGCTTTTGCTTATGATACTCCCGGAATGCGTTTGACCTTCTTTGTTGATAGTTTCTGCTATCGCCTTGCTAAAATCCTTGACCTATTAATATTAACGTGCTCCAATCGAGGCTAGCTCGCTATCGGTGTTATCATCACAATTAGCCACAATGATATACTTACTACTCAAAATATCAAAAGTAGCATCATGGTGGACCATGTTTCTCGAACCTCAAAAGGCTACCTATTCAATATATATTTCCCATACTGGTGTAAATACAGTGCATACTGCCGTGGGCGGTGTGCGGTGTGCGGCCGAGTGCGGAGGTATCTGTATGGGGAACGGCGACAACCCCCCCGGGCCGCAATGCTCCCTGTCCTCCAGTTCGCAAAGCCAATTATTCAGCTCCAATACCTTTTCTCTACCTGTCACCAACCGATGAAATAGGCACATAATCAGTCGATAGACTCGCCACCCAAAGAATCCCAGACTGAAAAAGGAATAACCAGCGAAGGTCCAGCCAGAATGGCTCCCTCCAAGACCTCCAGTCCCGCGGCGCCCTCAGCCAGCGCGCGACCGTCCCTCGAGCAGAACACGAACCCGGACTTCATTGACCCATCCTTCGATCCCGCCGAATACCTCAACAATGCACTCCCTGCCCTGACGCTGGCGTCTTCGCAGTCGATCCCCAACAGCAACAACAGCAGCAGCAGCAGCAGCAATCCCCGAGGCGCGGCGCCGGGATCCTCCTCTTCCGTTCATTTGCCCGAGATGTCCACACAAATCCAGTCCGTTCTCTCGCATATCAGCGCGCACAATGTCCGGCATTCGAGCACGCTCACGCGACTGACCGATGAGATCTTGCGGGGCGGCAGTCGGTTGGCCTACGAAGTGGAGGTGCTGCGCGGCGAGACGATCGCGTTGTCGGATACGCTCACGGAGGCGCTACGGGGGGATATTGCTAAATATGTCCCGGAGGGTGTGAATGAGAGTTCGGGCAAGGAGGTGGACCAGGAGGAGGAGGAGGAGGAGGAGGAGGAGGAGGGTCGAGATCATGACTCCGGAGCTGTCGATGTCGAAGCGGGGGGTGTGGATGACAAGGCCGAGGAAATAGACACCGAAGCTGCTACGATACAGGATCCGGAGTTCATTACGAAATTACGTATGCTGAATCAGGTGCGGGCTCGGTTGGAGGAGGTCGTGCAAACCTTCGGGGATGCGATGGAGTGGCCCGTTCCCCCGTCGGAGACCTCCCTGGCTTCGTCGTTCATCTCGGTGTCGGCGCCGGAGGCCGGGCCTGAGAATCAGAGTCGAGAGGAGAAGGGCCAGGAGGTGGCCAGGCAGCTGCGGGCGGAGGTGACGGGGCTTCTGGAGAGCAATGGTGGCGGTCTGGAGGCGGTAGAAGCTGCGTCGCGCCGGGTCGAGGCGCTGCGGACGTTGGCGTTGGTCTGGAAGGGGACTGCTGAGGAGAAGGCTCGGAATCGCGTTGTGGACAGCCTGGCAAAAATCGTTGAGGATCGTCGCAGAGCTCTAGAAAGCCAGACCCGCGCGGGCTCGTCCCAGCAAGCGTCTGGCTCTTCTACTAAAGCACAGTCGGCTGGCCACCGGCGGCAGGAGAGCGAAGGCCCAGCCGGTGGTATTTTCCGCAACTTGCAGCGGTTACGAGAGGAGATCTATCTTGAATGAGATGATGGATTTTACAATCATTAGCATAATTACGTCCCTGCAAGCAAAGCTTCTCACTAACGACTCGATCTGTTGCATGTCACTGGTGCGGAAGTTCTTGGAATGAATGCCTGTCCATTGTCCCTCATGTTGGGAAGGGGAGGGGAGCGGAGGGGTAAGAATGCTGCTGCTTGCACGGGAGATTGTGTGATAGGACGGCGGATGGTCCCTCTTCAAGGCTTGCGCCATTCGAAGGCTTGGTAGCTCTTAGCGTCCCGAGCAGAGAAAGGCTTAAGTTCCCCAGCATGCGCATTTGCTGCCCACCTGCTACTTTGCCCGTGAACCATAGGTTGGAGTCCCAACTAGCTCGGTTGAGGGCTTCATCGTCTATTCCCATAGTAGACCGTATCTGTGGAGTGACGCATGGGGAAACGTCAGAGAGCGACGTACTCAGAGAGGGACACCTAATGTGAAACGAATATGCGACTGCTGCCAAGACTGCGGGAGGACAGAGAGAAGCAGCGAGAGCATGGATGCGCAGGGCTGATGACGCGGCACCACCCAGAGAATGGTTGTTAGGATAGATATCCTGATGAGTAGACTGGATGTTGTGCAGAGATAGTTATTCATTAGAGATTGAATTGTTCAGTGGAAAGACAACCTTGGAGAGTTCGTGATGACAGTAATCTGTCCAATTCTTGTACAATCTCAAGCTTATGTTAGAATAATAAGATAGTACTTGAATAAGATGAGTAGAAAAAGAAAGTTGGCTGTGGATTGAACAATCATTCCTCATGGACTTCCCCCCCCACCGGGGCAGAGAAGAGAAGCGACTGCCAATCAATACCCGAGCGACTTTATCCAGTCCCTGACGGGTCTCCCCTTCCCCCCCCAGCAGGCAACGTAAAAGTCACCACTTCCACTTCTCAATTGACTAACTAAACTTAAACATTGCTCGGACTAGACCTGTTCGACCGGTCGTCGACTAGACGACTTCCTCTTCTGCCTCTTTTTCACCTACTTCTTTCTTGTCCGCCGCCTCCGCCTCGGGGTCTCCCTCCTTCTGACTCTTTGCGATTCCTCCGTTCACTTCCTAACATATGGATCTTTCCCCCGTTGTTGCGCTGGTCACCATCATCCTTTAACTGCCGTGCTCACTGTTGGCTTGCCGTCCCACATCTCCACCTTCTTCCCCGGCTCCATCATGGCTCTTTGCGACTGCTGTTGATTTGCCTCTTAATCTTGCTCCCTCCCCGCTTGCCTTCCTACTCTGGTTCTGGCTCAGTGGTTGCACGTTCCGCCTGCAGGAATGTTCATCGCTCGGTCTATACTTCTGAACATTGGCTGATTCCAGCTGCTCTGGCCCCAACCGATACGAACTGGCAACGTAATCCGATTGCCTATCGCCGTTAGTGAGCGGTGGTTCTTCAAACCACCCCCTGGTGAACATCCATATTTCGCACTGAGTGACCGCGAGAATGTCAAGTCGAGGCATTCTTGACGGCCAGTGGGCCGATCAATACAAGTATATGCGGTCGTCCGCATCCTCGTTTTGGCTGCAGCATCTCCACCCTCGTCGCTTGAGAGCCCGTCCCATTAGGACTTTCTTTCTAATCGCAGCATGTTTTTTTTTGCTCACGCTATGGTCGCGCTCATCCAGCGAGGTAGGTACATTGCTTAATGACCATCTTGCTCCAGAATGAACCCGGTAGCTGATTACAGTCGCTTGCTAGCCATCGATCAACTTCTGGGTAAAGTACCCGTCCTACCCTCCGACGCGACAACGCCCTGAAGATACGCCGATGCTCCTCAGCGGGCGACATGCCATGAATAAGAACCAGACCGCCCCTCTGGGCCTAGGAAGATCGGCGCCGTCCTTTCACCTCCTTATACCCGTGTCGCACAAATCAGCTTCGCTCTGTCGCACCGTGACGTCGTCGATGATCCTGAACTACCCACCGCCGACCCTGATCAGCTACGGAAAGTCCACTTCGGACGGGAGCACAGATTACTCCGCCATGGTAGACAGAATCGCGGGGATATACAATTATCTCGCATACAGCACACAACTGAATGACGATGATCTGGTCCTCCTTGTCGACTCGCAGGATGTGTTCTTCCAGTTACCTGCAGAGGTGTTGGTTCAGCGGTTTCAGGACCTGCTACGGGAGACCAACGACAAATTGCTACGCAAATATGGCACTATAACTCTGGACCTGCCCTTTCGTAAAGAGGGCAAACAGACGTTGCAAAAATACTCTCAAAGAGTCTTGTTCGCCGCTAGCAAGACGTGCATATCGAGTCTGTCCCAAGATCCAGGTTGCGTGACGGTACCGCAATCGAGTTTGCCTCCTGACGCTTATGGTTGGAAGACCGACACAGAAGGACATTTGACTCGGCCACGGTGGCTCAAACCTGGCGCAGTCATGGGCCAGGCAGGTGACTTAAGGGTTATATACGCCGAGATATTGAATTACGTCCATCAGCACCGCAACTCGCGGGGAGACTATCTGGCGATGACCCAGATGTTTGGGCGCCAAGAATATCTACGCGAGCTGGAACGGAGAAACAGCGCCAGCAGGCTGAAAGAATGGATCTATCGCCAAATCGGCATCTCGGATGCGTCGAATCTCACCGGGGCCATCCCCCCACACCTGACAGCGGGAACTCGCTATGAGTATGGCATCGGGGTTGACTATGAATCCCGTTTGTTCTTCAACATGTTAAACGCTAAGATGGATGTTGAATGGCTCCATTATCACAACGTGAGCACGACTTCAGCGGTGCAGATGAAGCATGGCGTTCCCAGAGAGAGACGTCTCATGCTTCCTGAGGACCTTGATCCCGTTAAACTCGGCAATCCATTTGTTCAGCCCCGATTTACCAAGGATGACTGGCCAAATCCCCCTTGGAATGCTACACTGGACAAGCTGCCAAACTATCGCAACCACACCTGGCGTGATCTTCCATTGATGACAAACATTCACTCGGCATCTGTCCCGGCTTTGCTACACCTCGACGGGGATAAATCGGTTCGTGACAAATGGTGGTCGGAGATGTGGTACCAGCCATGGGCTCGGGCACTTCTCCGCAAGTACATGCGCACCGCCTCCGGATTTGAGGCCTCCCAGTCTGCCTTGATGGGAGGCCAAGAGTGGTGGGACATGCGTGGCGGCAAGGGAGGCCTGTGGACTGATAAGGGTGAGTGGCTTAATTATGGCGAGGTTTGCGGTAGCTATAATCGGGATGTCTTCGACGACGAACTTGGGCCGTTTGGCCAGGAGAATGGCGAGGATGCCGACGAGCCCGTCTACAACCAATTCGGAAACGTTATCAAGGGCAAAGAGGACCTGGCGTCTACTCCGTGGTAGACCGCTCCTCTTGGATCTCAAAGACTGGTTTTTTGAGGGTTCAAGCCTTGCAGAGAGGCAGATGCGAAGGGTGCTGGCAGACGCTCTCATATAGTCGCCAGATGATATCGATTCTCGTTGCACATATTACGCGATTGGCGCCACGGAGCGCAGCGATAGTCCAGTCATGAGTCATGGCTGTGCATATATTCCCACGGTGTTGGACTTTCCTTATTTGAATTAGCGATTTATGTTGTGTGCTCCGCCATGGAACGTGGCATACTTTCAAAGCAGCCATTTTACAATGGCTAGCGTTCGCACTTAGACTGCGCGGGAGCAGTAGCCACTGCATATAACTCATCAGAGATACCAATCCTGTATAGATAGATAGAGCATGCCATAATTTATTCCCCCATTCAAGCCAATGCGAAAATTATCAGTACATTCATGTCATCTGAATGTCTTTCAAGACAATGTCTTTAATGCAGCATAACGGGTATATAAAATCCACTACCAACACTTTTCCTCCAAGTCCGTACAGTACCTAAGCATCAATCGATCTCACCTCGCCCCCGCCGCCGCACCTCCTCCCAACGTCTCCCGAATAATAGTCAGAATCCCCGCCACATCTGCCTCACTCAACCGTTCCTCCCGCTCCTCAATCACGGTATCCAACAGAGCCATAGCCCCGTAATCCTCCTCCGCCAACTCTCCACTGCCTGCTCCCCCATTTTCAGCATTCTGCCCTCCATTAGTGGCCCCATCGTCCACCTCCATCTCCTCCAGCTGCTGTCCCTCCTCTCCCTCTCCACCCTCTTCCTCTATCTCCTCCACCACCTCCTCCTCATATTCCTCCGCCTCCTCCTCCTCCTCCCCCTCCTCAGCAGCAGCAGCCGGAATCAACCCAATCCCCAAGTTAACAATCATGAGCACCTCACCCTTGGTGAGGCCATAGGGCTGCAACCGGGTAACGAGGTCCCGGAGGGCATGGTCGACGGGGGTCGGCTTGTTGAGGAGTTTCGGGGGCAGAAGCGTCGGTGGCGCAGACACGGCGGTATCTTTGTTGCTGTTACTGTTGTTGTGGTAGTTGGCCTGCGCCTGCGCCTGCGCTTCGAGTTCCGCCAGCGGGATGTGCGTGTATTGCGGGTAGGATTGGAGGTGTGGGGAGAGGCGCGAGACGTAGTTGTGGATCTTTGCGTGTTTCGGTCAGTTATGGTTGGCTTAGTTGGGGGGGAAGGGGGATGGTGTCTAGTGTAGAGCAATGGTGTATGCTCAGCTTACCTCCTTGACTACAGTATTGTGATCGCGGAGGTCGGGGCTGGGAACCCAGTGTCGGGAGTTGGGCGGCGGGTTGGGGGGTCGTCGGGGCGGGTTGGCGGTTAGGTAGGCTAGGACCTCGATGTTTGAGAGGACGGCAGACTGAGGGTCGACGATCTGGGTGTGTTAGTATTGGGGGGGTGTGGGTTTTGCTTGGGAGGGTAGTATAGGCCGCCGGGCTTACCCTCATGTTGTTGGTTTGGGAATTGGGATTGGATATTGGGTGGTTTGGATTGATTCTAGATTTGGTTCGTTGCGTTCGAGTGTCGCGGAAAAAAAGTGCTGTGAGATGCGGGGCGGAGAGGAGAGGTTCTGCCGGTTTGTGAAGGCGGTAGGGGTTATTGCTGCCTGAGGCTGAGAGCGGTCGACGAGATGCCTGGACAGTCCCCGATGGGATTGGATGGGTTATGCTAGGCTGCAGGCACCTGGCTACTCATAACCTGTGTATGAGCTAATCCATTGCTGCTACGACTTGCAATCATGAGCAATCGCTTCGGCAGAATCCATTCTGTTTTGATCTTCTTCTATTGTGTTCTTTTCTGTGAATCTAAGCTTATTTCATACTGCAGATACTAAATAGGAACTCGACAACACGTGCGCAATATGCTTGTTTGCCCCTTGCGGCAGTTGATCTCATGCAGCTATGGTGGAAGCTTAGCGATTTCTAGCTTGACACCAACAGCCCAGCGTGAATCACCTTGATGAATACCCCCTGCCTTGGTGTTTGCCTATGCACCCATAGTATTTGTTATGCGTCATCCTGCAGCAGACCTTGCCTGAACCAAGCAAGCACCTCGCAAACACCCTGAGGTTCAGGTAATTGGGGCCGATGCGGGTCCATGATTTCGTTCCTGCAGATAGCTCTCGCAGACGGAGACCCGTGGCCGAGATTGGCCCGCAGAACAATCGGTCCGATTATCTACTCACACGCCAGACCTGAGTAGACATCACACTCTTTCGAGATCGACTTGAAAAGTTGTCGTTTCAGCCTGCGTTCCGGAAGAAAAAGGAGTGGAACAGGCTCCGTGTCTTCCGTTCCTGAACAGCACAAAAGGTCTGAACATGCGAATGCATCAGTAAGAATTTGCTTCCTCTCGGAATTTGTGCTGCTCAATGATAGAGGACGAGCTGTTGTGCAGCAGATGAGGATATTCGCGAGTCCACTCTTGTCCCCTGGACTCGAATTTGTCAGATCTTTGCAATCAAACCGGTCGTTTCTAGTCGGCCGTCCATCCTCTCTAGTCACTTGCCTTGACCCACGGAACCCGCTTTTATTCTTCAACACCCATGATAAGATGGAACTCTAGATAATTTCCTGCACCCGCCGGCAAATGCTCGAGCCCACTGCGCCCTTTTCCTCGCCAAGGGCTCGTTCGACGAGGGACTTCGACTGATCAGCGACATAGTTTGCCTAATCCAGATAGAAAATTCCCTCGTGGAAGAGGGTCTTTTCCATGTAGATTGCACAAGTGGACCTCCGGGCCGTGTTTGAACTGCCCGAATGTCGGAAATGGACGGGTTTCGACCCTCGAAGCTAGCTTAACTACGGAACCGGGATTCAACCTTTCCTTGAGATGAAGGCTTCCAGAACCGATTCAACGCAGTGATGCGGATCGAGATGACGGGCCAAGCTCGGATAGTGATGGCGAGCGAGCTTCTCGGCAGTATAGACCTGAAGACCCATGCGACAAGAGAACTATAAATTGAAGTCTTATACTGCTTGTTCCCCTCTGACTGGACTTCATCCCTGAAAACATCTCTCAGGTTGTCGAAATGCGCTCTGCTATTGTTGGAGGACTGGTTGCCATCGGCTCCGCTCTCGGCGTTGCTGGCTCGCCGCATGCACCCACTGTTGAGAAGGCCAACGCATATGACTACATCGTCGTCGGTGGAGGGCCTGCCGGCATCATTACCGCCGAGCGTCTGGCCGAGGCCAACAAGAAAGTTCTCCTGCTGGAGCGAGGCCGCGGTCCGACTGTGGCTACGGGTGCCAATGACACGCTTGTTTGGAACAATAACTTGACCCCAGTCGATGTGCCAGGCCTGTCTGCCGACATTGGTGCTCTCCCTGAGTGGGAGGAGTACGTTTGTACCGATACTGCTGGGACTGCAGCCTGTGTTCTCGGTGGCGGTGTCACAGTTAACTACATGGTCTTCGTGCACCCGCCAGACCATGACTTTGACGACAAGTGGCCCAAGGGTTGGAAATGGAACGATGTCAAGCCTGCGGCCGACAGGCTTTACGAGCGCAACCCTGGAACTATCCTACCCTCTGCTGATGGCAAACGCTATGATCAAGGCCTATACACCGTGCTTTCCAACTTTTTCAGCAACATCGGCTGGAAAGCCGTCAACATGATCTCGCAGCCCAACGAGAAGCACCAGGTCTACAGCTACCCTTCCTGGAATCTTAAGGATCAGAAGCGTGCCGGCCCGGTCCGCACCTACCTTCCCCTTGCTGAGAAGCATCAGAACTTCCAGCTTCAGCTTGGCTCCAAGGTGACTCGCGTTCTCCGTTCCGGCAGCAAGGCTACTGGGGTCGAGGTCGAGAACGCCTTCGGCCGTCTGGAAAACATCACACTAGCCGCCAACGGCAGAGTCGTCCTGTCCGCGGGCGCCCTTTCGACCCCTCGCATCTTGTTCAACTCGGGTATCGGACCTCAGTCTCAGATCGAGACCGCCCAGGAGAGCGGCGTTGTCGTCCCCCCCAAGAGCGACTGGATCAACCTCCCCGTTGGCGTAGGTCTCAAGGACCACCCCATCTTCACCATCGTCGTCAAGACCAACGGCTCTTACGGCCCGCTTGACTGGACGGGTATCTACAACGGAACTGATATCGCCGACATCAGTCTCTATGCCAAGGGCAACGGTGTGCTGACCCAAGGAAAGCACCGGCTGATCTTCTTCTCCTCCAACGTGGTCGATGGCCGGACCCGCTACTACCAAGGATCATGCGCGCCCACTGGCGAAGACGAAGTCACTCTGACGACTTACATGACCCACGGTCTCACTTCCTCCGGTGTCCTTGGAGTAGATGCTGATGGCAACACCGTCTATGAGCAGACCCCTTGGATGAACACCGCCGGTGACCGTGCTGCGGCCAAGCTGTTCATCCAGGGCCTGGTCGACGATCTGCTTGCTCCCTCCACTGGCTTCCAGCTGGAGGCCAACACCAACGTCTCTTCCATCCTAGCAAACCCGACTACTGGTATGCACTATACGACCACCGCAAAGATGGGCACGGACGATGGCCGCCACGGAAACGGTACCTCCGTCGTTGATACCAACACGAAGGTCTATGGAATGGACAACTTGGTATGTATCTTCTCCTCTGCAACATAGATAACGTTTGCTGATGATTCTCGCTTGTAGTACATTGTTGATGGCAGTATCCACCCCGACCTTCCTACCGGCAACATCCAGGCCACCATCATGGTCGTGGCCGAGGCTGCTGTGGCCAAGATCCTGGCTCACCAGTGAGTGTGGGAACAATCGAAGATCGAGTCAACCGCGAGACGCCTACCTTTCGAAGGTTCTGACCGACAGTCGAATGCTTCCTATATAGCATTGTCAACATAGTCGATACGAGTAATGAAACATAAGATTAGCAACCTTGCTTTCGAGACTCTCGATTTATTGTAACTACTTACAAGGGTCAGCACAGTCTCCCTAGACCCAATCGTCCAATGTGTATATGAGCTAAAGCAGTACCCAACCAAGCCCCTTGCTAATCCTCGCTCGTAGTGGCTGCAGAATCACTTCGCACAAATAACCCGTAGGATCGTCTTGCCGGCCATTTAGGAAGTACCACCCGCTGTCACGGACCGACCACCACAGCACCCATCAGAGTATTTACTTGTGCCGATGGAGGACGAAGTATCCCGGGTGAGGGGTGAGGCGTTGTGTTGTGAGTAAAACTGTAGTAGCAAAGTGGTCGCATGAGATAAGAGGTAACTTAGAAACTGTATGACTGGGTGGCGATGAGGTGGCTCGTCAAGATAGATGCACTGCCCGTCTATACCGAGGTGCATCAGCATGCAGAAAAGTCTAGCTCACATACTGTTCGCCGTAGACAATGATAATTGTCTTTTTTTTCCGTGCTTGCATAGTGTAGAAGGCCGTGACGATTAGATGCAGGTCTTCTGGTTCCGTTACCGAAAATTCTACAGTTTCATATGGGTGGTACCTGCGATGCTATGTCTAGCTATCGAGTTCCTGCCTCCGCCGGGAATACTTCTTTCTATATCCTACCTGTTGGCTGGATACTCTCTATGCAAGGGACACGACATGAGTCCCCTGACAGGTACCGGCCAACGCGATCTAAACCTATACATACTACGTTCATGCAGAACACAAGTTTTTTTCCGAAGTTAACATTATTCCTGGAATTCGAACTGCCTTGACCAAAAAAGCACCTCTGCGCCATGGGATAGGATGTGAAAAATGCTTCCATCCGTTCTTTGGAAATGCCACCCAAACACACAATATAACACTTCAACTCAAATAGCAAAAGGACAATAGGAAAAGAGACACAAAAGAGGTGTGTGATATCATACAGGAAAACATCTCTCGAAGCGTAGCCATCAGGTAGGTGGGTTGTGAAGAAAGAACTTTTTTCTGTTTTATAAAAAGAGAATTGGAGGCTTCAGTCGTTTCCGCCGTCCCCTTTACTCGTCGCTCTTGCTCTTGCTCTTCTTCTTCTTCTTCTTGTCGCTGGTGTCGACCTCCTCGCCGTCGTCTGAGCGCTTGCGCTTCTTCTCCTCGCCCTTGGAGGCCTTCTTGGCGTCCTTCTTGGCCTTCTTGATGTCCTTCTTGCTGACGGAGCTGGGCTTGCCCTCGGCGTCGAATTGGATCTCGCCCCGTTCGAGCTTGCGCTTGTACCGCTTGACGCTCAGGCCGGCCTGCTCGGCCAGCTTCTCGAGCTCGGAGTCCTTGCTCTTCTTCTTCTTCTTGGAGGATTCCTCCTCGGAATCCTCGTCGGAGGAGTCTCCCTCGTCGTCGGAAGCGGCATCGGCCATCTCCTCGTCCTCGACCTCCTCAACGAGCTTCTTGTCCTTCTTGCTCTTCTTGACGGAAGCGGGGGGCTCATCGCCGGTCAGAGCGTCAGCATCGGGGTTGTATCTCCGGGCCTCGTTGAGGTCGAACTTCTGGGGCTGAGCGGTGCCGTTGGGGGCGATAGCCACACCGCGGGGCTTAAGGGGCTTGCCCTCCATGGCGGCCAACTTGCGCTCGAGGTTGTAGCGGGCCTCGGTACCGAGGGCAGCCTTGTCCTCCTCGGTGGCATCGTCATCCCACTCGGCCAGGGCATCCACACGGAGACCCAGGGAGGCCTTGGCGGCCAACACTCTGGCCATCTTACCCTTGTTCTTGCCAGTGGCCTGGCCGATCAAAGAGGCGTGGTAGATCAGACCGTACTTAGGAGTATCGTGCTTGGTCTTCAGAGCACGGAACAGGGCCTTCTCGGCACCCAGAATCTGGAGGGTAGAGGCAGGGCTCTTGGACAGGTTGGTCAAGCTACCAGCGTGGGCAATGAGACGGGCACCGACGAGGTCACCGACGAGGGCAGTCAAGTTGGGGGCAATAGCGTTCATGCGGGCGGTGAGGTAGCTAGCCAGCTGCTGACGGTATTCGGCAAAGCCGACGACCTGCTCGGCCAGAGCTTGGATGTGTTCCAAGTCCTCCTGGCTGATCTCAGTACCCATGGACCGGTCAGCGGCGGACTTGACGGCACCCTCGATCTCCTCGGGGAGGATCTCGGCGAGATCGGCAGTCTCCCAGTTAGTGCGCATGCCCATCTTCAGGACGAGTCTGGCGTAGGCGATGTTGTCGTTCAAGATCTTGGCCAGCTCGGGGAAGTGCCAGCCGTACCATTCCTTAACACGCATGGCGTAGTTGTTGAGTTCCTTATCCAAATCATCCAACAGACCGATAGCCTGCACGATCATGGTGTCGATTTTGTCAGGGGAGAACTTGAGCTTGTGACGAGCAAGAGAGTGCGACAGACCCAGGGCCATGGTGGACATATCCTGGGGAAGAAGACCGGGGATGAGAGTGGGCAGGTGTTCACGGATGGCACGGTAGATGTCGGTGGTGGAGGAGTCGGCAACCAGCTCGATGGAGAGGCCAGGAAGCTTGCCAATGGCGTTTCCTGTGGGATTTGAGTCAGTTGAGTTGGCTTTTTCTCCATTTCGCCATCGAGGCAAAGGAACTAGCACATACCGAGCTTGGGATCGGAAACAGCCAGAGAGACCTTCTTCTCATCCTTCACTTCGTCGAGAAGGCTGGCCAGACGAGGGGTAACCTTTCCTTCCACGAGGGCAGCAACTTCCTCCAGGGCAGTCGCGGCGCTGTCGAACTTCTGGAAGCTCTTCAATTTCAAACTGGGTTGCGCAAGTTAGACGTACGGTCGGCGCACGGAGGGGGAAAATTTTTGCATGAGATCACTCCAATTGTAATTGCAGCGATTTCATCAGATCCAAGACAAGAAAAACTTACAGGTTAGAAACACCCTCTGCAGTAGCAGCCTCAGTGGTGAGGTCGTCTCTTTTCAGAAGCTTCTTGTCCTTGGCCTTGAGCAGGGCATAGCCCGCACTGGTCTCCGTGAGGATGAAGAGCGTCATGATGTAGGCTCTCGACGTCTAGCTGTGACAACGAAATAAAACAAACCGAAAAAAAAAAGCACCAGCTAGAAGTGCGAGGGGCGAGGGGGTCGGAATTAAGAGGGAGGGGTTGGCGTAAGTTGGCGACGGGGGACGAAACCGCGTGCTGGACGAGGATTGCAATCGCTGGGAAATTTTTCGACACCAAAAAGTGAAAAAAGCGAAAACGCCGTGCGGACTGTGGCTGGTGCCCGCAAGTGGCTGGTGCAGGTGCACCAGACACACTGGCTAGCCAGCTTATGTAACCTTAGGCGACACGGGAGGCCCGCCCGGGCGTGGTCACGGGATTGTGGTTTACGTCGACTGAGATAGCGACAATCCATACCAGCAAGTGCTCCAATCCGCTTCGACTCCTCCCCATTTAACGATCTAGAGGCAGCTTGAGGACTCGTGCACGTCCGATCATAATGGAGGGTCTTTTTTTCAACGTCAAAAGCGGGTATGCCACTCGAAATACTTCCTCCCCCCCCCCCGGATCTCCCCTGGCTAACTGTCCTGATCAGCTACATTGAGGGCATTGCCCGAGGGTATCGGAACAGCCTTCTGACTAGCCAACACTACTCCAACTTGACTCAATGCGAATCGATCGATGGTCCGTTGCTCCCTGACTGACTCCCTCACGAACCAAACCAAAATCTCACACAGCGTTTTTTTCTTGCCCGCAGATGTCAAGCTCCAGCTCGCCCCCGCATATGGCGACTTCCTCGCCGCTCTCCCCCCGAACCCATCGACCTCCGCCCTGGCAGGCAAGATGACCGACAAGCTGGTTGCTGAATTCCGCTATCTCCTCGCGCAGGCCACGGGGTCGACGGAAAAGTTCCTGCGGTACCTGACCTACGGGTACATGATCGACAACATCGCCCTGCTCATTACCGGTACCCTGCACGAACGAGACACCCGCGAGCTCCTGGAACGGTGCCATCCGCTGGGCTGGTTCGAGACCCTGCCCGTCCTCTGCGTCGCCACCAACATCGAAGAGCTGTACAACTCCGTCCTGATCGAAACGCCCCTGGCCGGGTACTTCAAGGGGAGTCTGAGCCACCAGGATCTAGACGAGCTCAACATCGAGATCGTGCGCAACACCCTCTACAAGAACTACCTGGAGGACTTCCACCAGTTCGTCACCACACACCCCGACTTCAAGGGTACTCCGACCCAGGAGGTCATGTCGGAGATCCTGCAGTTCGAGGCCGATCGGCGGGCCATCAACATCACACTCAACTCGTTCGGCACGGAGCTGTCGAAGCAGGAGCGGAGGAAGCTGTACCCGGAGTTCGGTAAGCTCTGGCCGGAAGGGTCACTGATGCTTTCGCGGGCGGATGACATCGAGTCCGTCGCCCTCGCCGTGAGCATCTCCGCCGATTACAAGGCGTTCTTCGATGCGGTCGGCCTGACGCAGGGCGGAGGCGGCCTGGGTGGCATGGGCGGCGCCTCGGACGGGAAGAGCTTGGAGGATCTGTTCTACCAGAAGGAGATGGAGATGTGCAAGGTTGTCTTCACGCGGCAGTTCACGCCTGCGGTGGTATATGGGTGGATGAGACTGAAGGAGCAGGTAAGAACAACCACCCCACCATTCTTGCATGGACTATTTCAGCTAATCATCTCTGAATCAGGAAATCCGAAACGTCACCTGGATCGCCGAGTGTATTGCGCAAAATCAGAAAGAGAGGATCGGGAACTTTATCTCTGTTTTCTAGATACCATGTTTCTTCCTTTTACTTTTTAGCCGTCTTGTTTAAAGCCTCCCTACATTGATCTATCCTCTGGGTTTCCTTTCCCTCCTTCTCTTCTCCCCTTTCGTTCAACTCGCGCCCGCCCAAAATACACTCCATGCTCCTTTCGCGATGGCTCGTGTGTCATTAACCTTCTATCCCCTGTATCCTATGCACGAAGTGAGGCATCTCCTCTTTTGTCTTTGCTTTCTCGCCGCTGCTATCGCTAGTCAAATGGGCGAACTCGGACCTATGCAGCATCTTTCATTCGTCGAATCTCTCTCGTCTCCTGGGATATCATGCAGCGTGCGGATTGTAGGGTTCATGTATCGTACGCCAGGTCAAATATCTCTCATAGGAAAGTCTGCGTGGCATGTCTGCGCGGTAGGTATTTATGCGCAAGCAGATATACGTCGATTCCATGCTTGTAATGTCTCTGAGACCCATTTCTCAAGTCGTACAAAAATTACCAACTACAGAGACCATGCAGATAAGTTCAAGTATCCTGGAAATTCGGGGCAGACGTGATGATTCCCTGCTCTGGTGCAAGGAAAAAAGTAAAATGATAGATTGTCGTTACTTCAGACTCATAGCCGAAGTTCTCATGATGATGGTTGGATATATGTTCATGCATATGGACTCACCTGCTCCCTGAGTGTCATATCAGAGGCGGCCATATGACGGTGTAAAAAAGAAAAAAAAAAGAAAAACAAAAAAAGAACTCCCTAAAGACACAGAAATAACCCGACAGGTTTGACAAGAATGGGAGATATAATGGGCACAGACGCAAGGCCATGTAGAGGGTAACCAACACCTTATGCCAGGGACTAGACGCATGACAAGGTTTCTGGTCCGCTTCCAGTTGGCAATTGGAGTCTCGATATATTTTTGGTAAAGAAAATTCACAGCCAGCGATGATATGCAATAGCAAGAAGTCCCTAAGCATTCAAGACCAAGAAGGGCATTCCAGCCGATGTCAAAGCAAACTGACAGAAAAACAATCCGTGGAAGATGACCCAAGATTTCGTCGCTCTTCATATTTCGCCAACAAGTTTATGATTTACTTTGTATGGACGTCACACAAAAAAAAGAAAATGGAATAGATAAAACATCAAAAGAAACCCGTGACGGCATATCCGTTAGTCGTACTGGAAGAGGACGCTGATACTCTCGCCGTGGTGAACGCGACGGATGGCCTATACGACGAAATTAGTTCCTTGTACCTGAAACTCTTCAGAAAGGGATATTACCTCGGCGAAGACGTGGCCGACTTCCAGGACCTCCAGCTTGGGACATCTGCGCAGGTGGTCCGCCTGATCCACACTGTTGGTGACAACAACCTTGTCCAAAGCGCTAGCATTGATGCGATCAATCGCATCGCCACTCAGAATACCGTGCGTCACCAACGCATAGACTCGGGCAGCTCCTTCCCTCTTCAGAAGCTTCGCCGCTCTAGTGATGGTGTTGGAGGTGTCCGCCAGGTCATCAATCAAAATAGCGGTCCGATCCTTGACATCACCGACCAGCATCATGGTGGCATTCTGGCGATCCGTGATCCGTGTAGGGCGGCGCTCCTACAGGAAATCAGATAAAGTGTGACATCAAAAGACCGGAATTGAACGAACCTTGTGGATAAGGGCGAATTCAACGCCCATCGAATCGGCGATCGCGGTAGCCCGCTTAGCGCCACCAGCATCAGGACTGACAATGACAGCCTGCTTGTAGTTGGGGATATTGCGCTGAATGTAGCTCTTCAGCAGGGGTCGGCCATAAAGGTTGTCGACAGGGATGTCGAAGAATCCCTGGTATTGAGGGTCGTGAAGATCCATGGTGATGATGTGATCGGCACCAGCGCAAGTGAGCAAGTCAGCAACCAGGGTGCCTGCCTGAGCCACCCACTGCTTGTAGCCCGGACGGGGCTGGAAGTTGTTGATCTTGTTGGCCTCCTCTTCCGCAACGCTTCCACTGTGAAGAGATGGCAGAGAGTCCATCGTGTCACTGCGGGGCAGACCATTAATTGGACGTTGTCTCTTCACCGGGCTTCCGTTGCTGATATCTTCCAATTGAGCCTTGGCCAGGCTCTTTTGAAGGTTGTCCACACCGTTGAGCAGACTGCAGCTCTCGGGCTTCCCCGGGTGTGGGGTAGGCGGGGTACTTTCAAAAGTGTAGCCATTGCCCGATTTGCTAGCAAGGGAGGACTTGGTCAGCGGAGCGCCCGTCTTGTTGTACGGGATGTCACTCTGACGAGAGTATGGGAAGAGCGGGAGAACCGCAGTGACTCTCTTCGCCGAGGCGGTTTTGCAGGCCGAGATGGTGATGAGCAGTTCCATCAAGAGATCGTTCACCTTGCCGCCACCGGATTGGATGATGTAGACATCCTTGCCACGGACGGATTCTTTGATCTCGACTCGGGTCTCACCGACGGAGAATTTCGACAGAAGGACGTCTGCCGCAGGGATACCCAGGACGTTGCAAATGTTTTGGGTCAGCTGAGGGTGGGAGGTACCCCCAATGACGACAATGTTGCGCACCATATTGTTGTTCTGAGTCGACTGAGCAGCTTCAGGAAATCCGGTGGGTTGCAAGATCACAGGCGAGGAAGACCGAATCGTTTGCGGAGGGGGAGGGGAGATATTCAATGAGTCGGCGGGTCTGGAGGGGCGGGACGAAGGGTGAGATTAGCACGACCAAAGAGAGGAGAGCGCTGGCTTGGAGCAGCAGGCAGAAGAACAAAAGATCTCGACGATGGAAGTGGACAAGCAACTACCTCATGGCGGGGAATCAGGGATAGGGACGGGTTCCAAGCGAATGGATGGAGAAGGAAAAGCAGACATCGAGATCAGAAGGAGGGAGGAGAGAATAGGAAGAGATTCGTGGAGAATCGGCCATAGAGACGAGGAAAAAAAAAATGCCTCTGCCGCGAGTGGAACCCTGCCGTCGATTCAGGCTGCAGGCGGGGGGCAGCCTCAGGCTGCAGAGTTCCTTCTTCCGGCTAGTCCCGCCCTGCCAGCACGGGCGAATCCAACCGCCCCGCAGTGATGACTCATCCCACCCGGGCCTGAGACCCCGGAATCGGACTGGAGGCGGACCTTGGTGATGCCTTAGTGCCTGGATAGAGCGATATCAACAAACGGGTATCAGTGATCGAAGCTGGAGTCCTCACAGCACTGTTGCATAAACAACGCACAGCACAAGCACTCTCGAGCTCCAGCAGCAGCTTTCCCTGGACTTGACTCTAGGTATCTGGAATTCAATCGGTTCAAACCCTCTTGCTTGCAAGCTATCACGCCAGGCCTCAATCACAATCATTCATCCACATGGAAGGAATAGCAGCACATGGGGACGTCATATGACGGGACAACACATGTAATGCTTGGTTCACCTGTGATGGTCTAGTCAGCACCAACTCAAAGGTGATTTGAGAAGAATATTCATCAAAGAAATACGTGGACAGACAGGTATACGTGGAATGGAAACACAGAAACGGGGACATGCTCACAGGTCACAATAAGCAAGTTTCACGCGTGAGACGCTGTCCGGCAAATTCCATTATTGCCTTCCATTCCGACTCCGAAAGAGCTCTCGCGCTGAAACATATTCTCAGAAATGCCTCCAAGCTTGTCTGGCAGTTCCTGGAAACGACTTCACCTTCATGGTTCATCTCGGAAGGCTGGTAGGAAATGGGGTCGGTAGAAAAATAAAGACCTCTTCGATTTATCGGTTCGAGTATTTCCGTACAAGTTTGAGCTATCACGAAGATATCGATATCTCAATTCCCTCTCGAATCCATTCATTCTTGTTATGCGGCCGGGAAATCCTTAGTTGCTTGGGAGCTCGCTCTTTTTGTGCTTTGTCCTGCCCCAGCGTCTATTAAGGCCGCCTGACTGGCATGAGCCCTCTTACCACCCATACCCCTCTCCAGCTCCTTAAATGCTTTTCTGCTCACTGATAAGGCAACAAGGTTGGGCAATCAGTGAGACAAGTGGTTGGTCTAGACCGGGCATTGGCAGGCAGGTGCGACACGATGCACGTGATGCGGTACGACACAAACCGAAGAGAGCTCGTTTAGCCGTTCAGGGACTAGACCACCTACAACTACTAGATCTGCTTCTCCTCTCCAAGGAGATAAGTATGAGAATCTTCAGATCAATTCAAACTCGGCAGATATAAATGTACCGGCTCTGCATACCGATCGAGAATCACCAGACCGTGACCTGTTGGAACTAGTCAATCGCATTGTTTTCCCTCCATGCCCGGCCGCCTCATCCTACGGCGCCCGTCCCCGACGACCGTCTCGTTCACCGTTTCAAACGCCTCAAGACATACCAGTACGCCCGCAAAAGTTCTACTCTACCTGCAGGTTCTGCTGCGCGTGCTGAGCTTTTTCTGTGTGCTCTTACTCGATGTCGCCAAACTCCGACACTCTTCTTACGTCCAAGAAGCGCGATTGATCCCCTGGGCAGCTGTATGGACGACACCGGTGGGCGCCTCGGTTTGTCGCTACGCGGATAGGTACAGCTACCCAGTTGTGGGGTTAGTCAGTGCAATTGTGATGTATGGTGTTTTCAGAAAAGGATACACAGGTTCGTTGGATGTGTGCGGCTGTTGTTTGACTCATCCAGCGGTGCTAACTTCTATCTCTACGGTACAGAAGAGTCGCTCCTCGTTATTCGCGGACTGGGCATCCAGACTTCGACATCCTCCAACACGTACTTGTCAAAAGCGTCTACGCGATTCATCCCCACCACACAGATCCAGGATATTGTCATTCATGAAGCTTTTAAGGGATTCGAGGTTCGCTTCTATCTTGCTGTAATTGTCGAAGAGGAGACCGAGGTCCTCGTGGTTTTCCCTGTGAGTTTGGTTTGGGAGCATATGTGCATACGATATCGCCGAACTGACAGCGAATAGAATCTCCTTCCAAATCGACAAATCCTAGAAGAGGTCTGGAGAGGTTCGCGACGATGTCTGTATGATTCCAAGTCATAGCATGATTCAAGCTGAGGATGCGAACATCATGAGTTTCCAAAGAAAAAGACTCCGGTGAGGAGAAAGCGCGAGACTTCACGCGTCGCTAAACGCATGCATATGATATGTTAGGGTAGGTACAGAAACTAATCTTATCTACATCTCCGTCTTGGACGGCTTCGCACCAGCCTCCGTTTTTCGTTGTTTGGCAGCCAACCACCGCGCATTCTGGACCTCAACGAGCTCCGTCTTGCGTTTGTGCAAGACTGGAATATAATCACCGCCTGTTCTGGATTCATTGCCACCAATGAACACTTTTTGTCCTCTGTTCTTCCGCTCCCAGACAGGGTTTTCTCCTCCGGTAGCGATCATGGTTTGATCTCTTTGCCTAACGGCCAGATCGAGCAGTGTGCCGGCTAGGATCTCATCAATCTTGCGCTGTCTCCAAACAGCCCAGAGCTCCTCGACGATTCCACCGAGACCAAACTTGCCGCCGCCTTTGCCGAGATGGGATTTGATCTGCCTGATATCGCCTGCATAAACCCACTCCAACGCATCCTTGCGGCTACCGCTCTGCTCATCAGGGTATACACAATCCCAAAGGACAAGAGGGGCGTCAGACGCCATCTCATAAGTGGGCTTGCGCGGGTTCTTGGAGGCATCTAGCAGGTCGCGCACAATGGTGGGGGGTTCGAGGCCCTGGCCCACAAGGAACAAGACACTGACCATGTGACGAACCTGATGCCATAGGAATGCGGATCCCTCTAGATGAAAGACATACACCTTAGCAGCGGTAGGTGTAAGCTCAACGGATGATCCGCTGTCTTGCTCGCCTTCAACAGCGCAAAATTCTGGCTCGTTCACGTAACCCAGCGGGGTATTTTTGGCATCGATCATTTCAATATCAGCGCGGAAAATCTCACGGGAGAAGTTATCAATCTGTTTTGTAACGTCCAGCTTGCAGAAGTTGCGGAAGTCGTGGGTGCCTTCAAAGTATTTGGCGGCTTCGCGCATCGCCTCTATATCCAACCAACCCTCTCTGTACTTCGGACGAGCGTTCGTTCCGTCATTGGCACGGGGCATTAATCCGAGAGGCCCAGGCGTAGGAGAGAAGGCGGGCTGAGTGAAAAAGTACTTGTAGTGGCGTTCTCGGCAGGAGAAGCGAGCGTCGAACCCTTCCGGAGGGTTGGGACACCAGGCCAGGACCCTAATATCCTGCGGAAGGACCTTATTCAGCATGCTCACATAAGGATGTTCATCCTTGATATGATCCCAACCGCCATCCGCCTCCTCCGTGTTTTCCATAGCCGTGTCCGGGTTCTGTGCATCCGTCTTGCGCATTGGTCGCGTGCTGCGCACCCTCATACCGACAACCTGCCCAAAAGCGCTCACACCGCGATCCGTGCGGCCGGCCTTGGAGTACTGACATCCGTCCCAGTTGATCCAGTAGGGCTTGACCTCGCGCGGCGCGTAATTGTCGACAAAGTCATCCCCAGATGTATCGGTCGGAAAGATCAGACGTGTCTTGCGCAATGCCTTGTAAATTTCCTCCTCGATGGTCGGCAATGGTGTGGCATTGCCGTTCGCGTGTTCCAATCCATTATACCGCTGCCCCAGATAGGCAAACTTCAGCGCGATGAAGCGCGTGTTATACTTGGAGGGATCGATTTCCCGGCGCACTTTCGCGGGCTTAGGCTTCGGTGGCTGTACTTCTTTCTGGGCTGTGGAGGAAGAGGTCAAATTGACAGGCTTCTTCTCGGTAGATTTGTCGGTCTGCTGCTGGGGAATGCTTGTAGTGCTCAGCGGTGTGGGGGCAGGCGATGCGGCGTACTCCGCCGTCCGGGAGTGGAGTTGGCGCTCAAGCTCGGTGATCCGGGCAATCAAGCTGGACGTAGGCCATGTCGAGTAGTCCTGTTCATTATCGGCGAAGCCGGACGCTGGCTGGGTTGGCGTCTGCGCGGGTTGCTGCTGCTGCTGCTGCTGCTGCTGTTCCGACATGGTTTGCAGCGGCGGGGAGGAATTGACCTGGGCGAGGGAACGAGCGAAACAGTGAAAAGATGCAGCGGTTGCTGAACGGGATCTGTGTATAGTGGAGTCTTGAGCGCGAGTCAGGAAGTTACGAAGGCTTCCTTGGAGACTGCGCATACCCGTGAGGAAAAGAATGTTGGGCGGACTGGAGGCTCTCGCGGAGGTGGCAGCGGAAATAAATTGTTTTCTTTGGGTCTGCGATGCGAAAAATTTAGAGTCGCTGATCCAGATAGCCTTACGGAGTGTATTGCCCGTGTAACTCCGGTAATATTACGCCCGCTGATATTGGAGGATTTGGTCGTTCAGCTGTGGCTTGACTATACTCGAGAATCAAATGCTCCTTGGTTTTATCAGTCTACCTCTTCTAGTAGATGCGCAGATTACTAAATTCTATGGACAGTAACTTCTGTCGGTTGTCCAGCATAGATCTATTGTGGGAAATATCAAGCAACGACTGGTTTGAAGGCGGACCGCGTGACATACTGTGTACATATTCCGGATCTTATCGCATCTAGCACACTAACTTGACTTTGCGATAACCATCACAGGCAATAACCCTGTAGAAATACGGTGAAATGTCCAACTGTCGGTGACAATTGAGTGCACTTTACAAGCCAACACAATCTCTCGATATATCACAAGCGTCCATAGCATTTCAATCTGAATGGCGGACTCCTACCTCCAAGAAGACAACCCGACGGTTACGATTTTACTCCTAGGAGACTCAGGTTGTGGCAAGTCGACCTTTCTATCGTGAGTAGATCCTGTTCTTGACCAATCTTCACATGCAATATTCGCAACTCATTATTATTACTATCCTTCCTATTCTCTTCCACGCTCTATCAAAATTGCATTTGTCCGCTAATGCCACCTCAGGAGCCTGAAATCTAACCATCGCCGACATCAGGGACAAAGAGGAGACGACGTCCCATTACGGGATAGCGACCAGCCATTTCTCTATGACATTCGCTTCTCCAAGAAGTCATTCACCCTCGAGATCTTCGATACCGCCAGCCCCAATCAGCACTGGTCGACTCTCCGGCCGGATGTGGTGCTTCTGGCGTTCGATATCTCCAATCGCGAAACCCTGAACGGGTTGAGGGGGGTAAGTGGGCTTGAGATCCGGGTGGAGCAGGGCCCATTGTTCATATTGAAGGCCCCCTCATCCCTTCGTCGTGCTTCTCCATTCTGACCCCGGTTCTAGTGGCGACACGATGTGATCCGGTACTTCCAACACGGCTACGGGGAGCGCATCCCCATCATGGTGGTGGGACTAAAACGAGATCTCAGAGTCGAGGGAGAGGGGATCATCTACCCACAGGAGGTGAGCTTGCTCCTGCATGGAGTGTTGTTCCTGGTTGCATAGATCGAGCTGCGCTGATTTGTTATAGTCATACCGCATCGCCCAGGAACTTCGATGCGATCGTTATGCGGAATGTTCCGCCGCTACGGGTGAGCTGATGGCGGAGACCTTTGAGGATATCGCGCGGATGGCGGGGATGACCTTGACGGCGGCGGGCGGGCAGAGTAATGGGGGTTGTGTCGTTTGTTGATTGGTTTCTTTCTTTGTGATACCCTTCTTTTCGATATTTAATCGTTCATAGGTGTTTCGGTCGAGCTTCGCTGAAATCTAAGGTCTTGTGGTCTCGGAAGCCGAGGTAGGCGGATGGACTGAGGTGTAAAGCACATGGTAAATGACTTTATATTTATAAAGGACTTAACAGTGCTCGTAGACCGATCACACCGGATACCGGAATAAAACCCCGTTGAGTTTACGCATCTCTACTCTACTCTCTCTACTGCTACGAACGATGGAAAGACATGGTAGCTGGCATCACTTTTCAATTACGGCTATGATAAACATGCAGGGAGAAACCAAGGTAACGCTTAAGTCCACCTTGTAAATTGACAGCACAGGGCTTTCCCCCAGAAGCTCACCGAGGCAAGAGAACAACTGGATATCTTTCCCTCATAAGCGCCAAGTCAACTGTTTATCGTTGCAATTCCTCCCCGATGCACACCATAAACGAAACATCAAAAATCGGATGGGCGGGAAAAAGGGTTTTCACCGTAGCATACCACGTCAGAGAAAGGAAAAGAGTAGGAAAAAAGGGTTGGTTTTTGAAGTAGTGGATCTCCCGTTGATTGTGTGTGTTTTTTTTTCCTCAATTTTTCTTCCTTTGCTTTTTGGTTTTTTTGGTAAATTGTTGAACAGAGACTAGGATAGACATGACAAGGGGATTGCTTTTCCTCTTCTGTGGTTGGAAGGGTGCGCGAGTGTCGCTCCAATTCGGCAAAGGAGTCCACTGAAAGCTCCCCCACCAATCGCCCAAGATGCTTCATGGAAAAGAAGATGTGAATCAAAGTCCCCTCTCAACGACCGTCCGCGTCACCGGGTTCAAACATTTACCAGTTGCCCTCAGCGGGCTTGGTCTCAGCCCAGCTCTCGCCAGCAGGAGCGGCAGAGCTGGCAGCCCAGTCGGCACCGTCAGCCTCCCAGCTGGTACCAGCAGCAGCGGTAGCAGCGGAGAAAGCAGTGCCAGGAGCACCAGCACCAGCACCGGCGGTGTCCCAGTTGTCACCGGCGTAGCCGGACTCGATGGCGGCGGGGCCAACCTCCTCAGCGCTGGCGACCTTGGTCTCGTCGGCGATCTCCTTGTTCTCCTCAGCCTCGGGGTCACGGTAGAAGTACAGGTCGACAACGACGTCCCAGTCAACCTCGCGGGAGGCGATGGTACCACGGAGGCGGAGGACCTCACGGGCGAGCAGCCACCAAACGAGACCGATGGCGTGGCGACCCTTGTTGTTGGTGGGGATGGCAACGTCAACGAAGTCGGTGGGGGAGTCAGTGTCGCAGAGGGCGATGACGGGGATGTTGACGTAGCTGGCCTCCTTGATGGCCTGGGCATCGGTGCGGGGGTCGGTGACGATGATGAGGCGGGGCTCCTTGAAAGAGCGGGTAATGTAGTTGGTGAAGTTACCGGGGGTGAAGCGACCGGCGATGGCGGTGGCACCGGTGTGGGAGGCGAACTTCAGGACAGCACGCTGACCGTAGGGACGAGCGGAGATAACACAGACATCGGCCGGGTTGTCGATGGCAGCGATGATACGGGCAGCCAGGACGATCTTCTCCCTATACAATCGCGCGCGCGCGCAAGTTAGATTTCTGGGCGAATTTATATGTCTCGTGCCCCCCAATTGCGCGTTGCGATTCCTTCTCCTAGTAAACGTACCAGGTCTTGCCAATGTTGATAACGTTGACACCGTCGGGGCGAGTCTTCCAGAGGTAAGGCTCCATGTGGGACTGGAGGTTCTTGGATCCCAGGTGGCACTGGGCAGCCAGGAGCTGCTCAATGTCCTGGGAGGTAGGGTTGAAGATCGGGGGGAGCTGGGAGGGGGCCATGGTGGACGATTGACTCTGCAAAGGAGATCGAATTGAGGATATCAATCGACTGGCGCTTGTCGCGGTGGTGATGACGGGAGGAGAGACGGAACGCGAAGCTGAACTTTTCCACGCCGCGCTGAGATGGTGATGAATTTCGCTTGCCGTTTGTGAATTCTAGGGCTAGGGTTAGCCAAGACCGGGAGTCCCCGGACCGTCTCCCTAATATCACGTGAAGCGTACCACCCATACTGGGACTAGCGTACTTTGCCCGGTCCTCGAGATTTCGGAGAAAGTTCAGCGCGCCTGTGCTGGTTGACGGCCTTAGATGCGAAGAAGCTCCGGTTTGTTCTACGACCATAGCCAGTGCTCGCCGTCTCAGGCTTCCAACTATGTCTCCTCGCTTGCTTCTTCAGCCCTCCCTTAGGGCTTTCACTGGTATGCCTTCACTCCTCCTTCACCACTTCCGCCTTGGTCGGTCGCCAATTCCTCTCTAACTCGTGTGCTGTTGATACCAGGCTCTTCCTCCATTCAGAGTCCGCTCGCCGCCCTATCTCTCAACCCTTCCAAGACCACAATCAGAGCCGGTTCTGCAGAGGCAAGAGAACGTCGCAGGCATGACCCTTTCTTGACAGCTCAGTCGCGCCAGCGCAAGGCAGCCAACCTTTCTCGCCGACAAGCTCTTGCCCAGGAACGTGAGCAAGCTTTGGGAGACCCCGTCAAGAGCGCACCGACCCCTTTCATCCAAGAATTGCAGGAGACCCAGATGCATACAGAGAATGCCATGCCCAACTTCTTTGTGAAACCGACCGAACTAGAGCGTGCTCTCAATCATTCCAAGGACCTGACTTCTCCTCTCGTGAACCCGGACCGCGATACCGCCGACCCTCAGCTTGAGATGGAGCAAGCTGAGCAACACCACAAGCAGCACGCGAATGCACTGGAAGCCATGAATCGGATTCTGAACCTTGGAAACGGAAACAACCAAGATCGCATGCGCCTCCGCATCCAGAGATGTATCGAGACTTTTGGTCGGCACAACACGGACCAGACCCTGCCTCCCAAACCAGCAAGCGTGTCCCTCGACTCTGCAACTGCTCGACCCGAAAAGTTTCCCCGAGTCGGCGCTGATACTGGTTCCCCAGAAGTGCAGGTGGCTATCTTGACCGCCAAGATCATCAATTTGTCCAAACATCTTGAGACGACCAACAAGGACAAACACAACAAGCGCAACCTGCGCCTCCTCGTACACAAGCGACAGAAGCTTCTCCGTTATCTGCGACGAAAGGAGCGTGGAGGTCCCAGATGGCAGAACCTGGTCCAGACCCTCGGCCTCTCCGACGCTGCTTGGCAGGGTGAGATTAGCATGTAATGGGGAGTCTGCCGGCGTTTGTATTCTATAATTTCCTTTGGCCATCCTCTTCTCAAACTATTCTTTTGGCGTATATCGACCTCATGATTTTGTCTCTGAACCCGTTCCCCTCCCACCACCCGGCGACTATGGCAGAGAGCGGGCGAAACTGTTTTTCATCTAGTGCCACATCACTCCAGCGTTTCTGGCTGTTCCCAGAGGATCGCTGTGTACTGTACAAATATTGCTATCGTTTTCAACGACTTAGAGTTAGCTTGCATAGAATGCGACTTCTCATTGCCTCTGCTGTTTGATCAATGAGCCTGCGACTCTTGTAGTACGAACTAGTGTAGCTAACTAGGTTCATTCTTTGCTGCGCTAAACCACTTATCAGCCTGCCTTTCTTATGATGCATGTGCAAATCTTCAGACCCGGGTGTATTATTACCCATCCATGCCTGATGTCTTCATAGCGATATTATTGAGTAGTCTGGAGTGATTGAGCCATCACGGCGCAGGGAATCTGCGGCGAGATTGCGGTTGCCGACGGCTTCACCGCCCTGTTAATTCTGCCGGGACGTCACTCCTTCGAGCCGCAAATTTCCCGCGTGGTCGAGTGAATATTCACTTCACTGCCATCCTCTCATCCATCACCAGATGCTATAGCTTTGCTCGCTCTGGTAGTGAATGTTGCCAGCTGCCCCGCGGGTCCACGGCCCACACGCGCCATAACAACATAACAACAGAATCATAACACAACCCACCCGGTGAGTTTTGTTTTCTTTCCTTCTTCTCTTCCTCTTCCCTTCTCATCCTCTCTACAACATCCTCGCTCTCCTCTCCACTTGTTTCGCAGTTCGCAACAGCGTTTATCTCCACCCAAATACTTGCTCTTTTGCGCTTCGATTTATCGTCCTACTCTTTCCTTGTCTGTTTTCAGTTGTGCTTGACTTCCTGCCTCGCAGTGCTAGCAGAGTCGGGATCCCGTCGCGCTTTCTCTCCGCACCTTCTCTCCCTCTTTTCATCCTACACTCCATCCTCTCTTCCTGTCACTCCACCTCTCTCTTCCTGTCATCACCCTCTCTTCCTCTCGCCTTCACCCTCTTCACATCTTTGTGCCTGAAGACTCGAGCTTTATTCGACTCAGGCCTTGTTTCCAGCCCTTACAACCTGTATTCTCTATCAGTTCGCAATCACCATCATCCTCCTTCACGTGTGTTCATTTTCTCCCCTGTTGAACTCCTGCTGTGCTTGCTTCAGCTTGAGGTTCATATTTCACGCCACGAGACGGGCTCTCAAGGTCAACGCTAAATTGCGACTTGGGTCATTGTCTGTTCTCTGTGCGCACGAAAACCGCAACCCTGCCTCTTTCGAATCCGCCATCTCTTCTCTTAGCGTCCGACCTGCCTTTTAAGCTGCCTCTACATTGGAAGACTTGCAAGGTCGTCCCACATTCATATTCATCAACGGTGTTCACGTTAGTGCCGTGTCAACCTGAACATTTACCAATTATCATTCACTCTCTCGAACAGTCAAAAATGCGTACTCGCTCGCAGATGATGTCGCCTGGTGGCTTCGTCTCCCTAGATGACCACAATGTTGCTCGCCCCACTAGATCGACGAGAAGCAACTCGCAGCAGTCCGCCGCCGAAGAAGAACAGCCCGTCCCTCACCCGAAGGCAACGCGCGCTAAGAAAGCGTCTTCCACAATCACCAAAAAGCCTGCCAGCAAGAAAAAGGCGACTACAAAGAAGCGCACAACGCGCCGGACTACTCGCAAAACCGGTCAATCCGATCCCGAGGAGACCGAACAGCACCAGATCGAAGACAACGAGAACGCCGAACCCACCGCATCGCAAGCGGCGCCAATCTCACAGGAGAACGGAAGCACTGAAGTAGGCCAGGACTCCAACGCTACAGAGAGTGAGTCATCCCATAACATTGGAAGTGCCCCCGCCAGACAATCAACACACGCCTCCCGGGGACCGAGGGCTGCCTCAGAGGCCCCAACTAGCCCGGAGCCGCCTCGCTTTGAGAGGTTGCGGACCATGTCTGTCGGCTCCGGGTTTCCTGAGGCAGTCACGGTTCCTAGTGAGCTGCCGGAGGACCAGCCACGGTGGTGCCAATGGCGGGTAGTCCATTTCCTCCGGTCGGGACCGGTTCACATCCTCCAAATCAGCGTAGGGCTGTGGACGTGCTTTCACCCGTGCCTGAGGACATCGGGTCGGGTGAAAGCAACGGTCTCGCTACAGGTTCCTTTCAACAGGGGCCCGTTGGTGCTCCCGGGGGTCTGGGGCATGGCACATCCTCTTTTACAGGAGCGGGGCTAATGTACAACACAGACAAGAAGCGTCGTCGCCCAACCAATGAAGACCACAACGACAACGACGGAGAGCCAATCACCCCCGCCGCGAATAAGCGGCGCAACCTTGGCATTCCCGGAAGTACTCCCTTCTCTCACGCCAGTCCCTTGCCTCGCCGTGTGACCGCCAACATTACCCCATTCTCAGAGAGACTTCGCCGTCGCAACGCCGAGTCGCAAGGCCGCATTTACAGAACCAGTCTTCGCATCTCGCAGTATCTTGCTCAGGAGGACGCTGACCGTCTCGCCTCTGAGAGGACCCCAATTCCGGGAGAAGATATTTCGATTACTGAACCTTTCCCAAGCTTCGAGGATATCGAACCGCACCAGGAACAGAATGCGCAGGAACCGGAACCGACACAGCAACCGACCACTCCGGACCGTCCTGCGAGTGGCTGGAGAATCCGCGGGCTACTGAACTCTGTCCCTCGCAGACTTTCTCGTCTCATTCCCACTTTTGGACGGACCCCCGAAAGAAATGAGAATCAAGGTATGCCTTCTTCATGGCTTGGTATTGTTTATTCCGCTTATGCTTGTTAGTGCCAGCAGAACCATCAACCGAACCGCTCAACCGTACACAGCCTAGAGCGTTCGTTCCTTCAAATAGAACAGTGTCGCCCACTCCCAAGAGCAAGGGACCGACCCAAGAGCCGCAGCGTGATCTCTCCTTCTCCCTGTTCCCTGCTACTATTGACAGGTCTCGCTACCTTGACGATAAACCTAGACCCAACCCCAAGTCCGTCCAACAGATCCCTGCCGCGGCTTCAGCCGAAGCTCCTGAGTCTTCGGCCGTTACATCGAACCCCAAAGATTCTGGTGATTCCATTGCCGAAGCCAGCATAACTGGAGGCCGCAATTCTGCTTCAGGAGAGTCTAGCACCTCCACTCCAAACCAGAAGAAGCGCAAGCGGGCCCCTTCCCCTGATGTGATCCCTAACCCGCCTGGATGCAGCTATGGAATGTACGAGGACTATTTCGTGATCTCAGACGATGAAGAAGAAGAAGAAGAAGAAGAAGAAGAAGATGAAGAGCCTGCACTCCCACAATCCGAACCCAAGAAACAAGACGTGAAAGGAAAGTCCGCCATTCGCAGTCTTCTCCGGTCCGAGCGTCCAGCTTCGAAGAAAGTTCGATTCGATGCGAGTCCCCAGGATACCCCATCCAAGCTTAGAATGAAGCCTCGTGCAACCGATCCATACACTGGACAGCATTTCGTCGGCATGGATCTGTCTGGCGAATCGGATAACTCATCCTCGTCTCTTCCTCCCAATACCGCTCCACAGGCCGAACAGTCCACTGTTTACCCGGATCCGCGGAGTCGCCCAGGCTTCGTTCCCAATCGTGATGGTACTTTTGAAACCCCCTATTCTGATACTTCTTCTGATGCCTCAGAAGAAGATACCCCCGCTCCTGGCTTTGTTCCCAATCGGGATGGTACATTCGAGACACCTTGTTCTGACACCTCCTCGGAAGCTTTGGAAGACGAGGCTACAGGTTTCGTTCCCAACCGCGCCGGTACATTCGAGACTCCCTATTCGGACTCCCCATCGGAACCCAGTGCTTCTACCCTCGAATCTGTGCCCGATACACAGACCATTTCACCAATTGAAGCTCCTTCGCAGCCTCACGTTACTGAGAGGTTTGTTCTTCCTTTTGTCTCGCTGAGCCCAGGCAAGGCAAGGGCTTGCTAACCAATTTTCTATCTAGCACATCATCCGAAGAGACTCGCGTGACTCCGCAGCAGGCGCTTGTCCCTCCTACTACTCCAGCCAAGGTCGAAGATGATGCTCTTGCTCGAGTCCGCTTGCAAGCAGAGAAATACAAACCCAAGACGCCCAGTGGACTCCGAACTGCGAGCCGCTATTCGAGCCCTTTGACTCTTGCTACTACCCCTGACACAGTCTCCGCACCTATTGCTACTCCCAGCACGGTCCCTGTACCTGTCGCTAGTCCCGAGCGTGCATCCAGCGCTGAGGACTTCGGTAACGACCAATTCGCTCGCGATGCTCAGTGGCTCTATGAGAATTGCCCAACTGGAGACCTCTCTGAGCTTGTCTGGCCTGAAGCTGAGAGTTATGAAGATATGGGCTTCAGTGCCGAGGCAGTTCGCATCGCCAATGAAATGTGGGATCCTTCAGTGGTCGACCACGCTTACGATAATATCTGGACGCCCGGCTTGGACGCGTTTAGGCGCGAAATGGAATTTGGATTTTCGCACGCTGCACTTGCATAAAAACTTGCCTTGATAACTGCTATTACTGAATCAGGTCGAAAGTTGTTCGGGTCTTGGCACACTGTTCGCTCTTCTTCGTCGTTTAGACCGCCACATTCGTCTCTACATCAAACCATGGTCTGTCTATCTGGTTGAAAGTTGCTCAGGTTATGGCATGTTGTTAGCTCTTCGTCGTTCAGACTACACCAAATCGTGGTGTGCCCATCCGGATGGCTGTTGTTCAGGTTTTTGATTGTCGTGTGCCCTTCTTCATCGATCAGACCACCATATTCGTCTTTACATACACCAAATCGTGGTGTGCCCATTCGGTCGAAAATTGTTTAGGTTATGGCATGTCTTTAGCTCTTCGTCGCTTAGACTACACCAAATCGTGGTCTGTTAATTCGGTTGAAAATTGTTTAGGTTTTGAATTGTCGTTTGCTCTTTCTCACTCAGACCACCACATTCGTCTTCATACACACGAAAACGTGGTCTGCCCATGTGGTTGAAAGCTGTTCAGGTTTTTTCGATTGTCGAGTGTACCTTTATTGCCCAAGGAGTTGTTCTAGAAAGGTCTTGGGATACCATCACTGTTTTTGTCTGGTTTGGTTTGCGAAGCATTCCCGGTGTTGTCTGTATTAAGAATTGCCTTGCATGTATCGAGTGGCACTCAAGCGTCTTTTTTTCATCCACACAGACAATCGATGTACAGTTCATGAGTTTGTGATCAATTCATTTTTAAGGCAGGAAATCTGGGAATTGCATGAGAATGCTTCCGGTAGACAAATGGTAACTACTGCAGGGGTATGTGAAATGCGGAGAAAGAGGACCATCTATTGGACATCAGATTCTAGAGACGTAGTAGACATGGTATCAAAATTATATGACGATAGGAAAACCAGGTTACATGATGTCATTTCAATCGAAACCTTCGAACTCGTCATCCTCAGCATTAGCATCACCTTTGCCCTCGGCCGCCTTGGCTGCGCGCCGCAGTCGACGTTCCTCTTCATTCTTGAGACGGAGCTGCTCCACCATCTGTTCTGTCTCGCGAGCCTTCTGCCGCTCTTCTTCAGTCATCTTCTCCCACCGGGTATGCTGGGCCCGCGCCTGCTTCACCTCTCTGCGCTTCTGCTTCTTGTTCCGCGTCTCGAGGTTCTTACTCCAGGCGGAGGCGCTTTCGGTCGCCCGTCGCTTGTTGGAGGATTCGTCGCCCTCGTTGGCCGCCGCCGCCGCCGCCGCCTGCTCGGCTCTCTCCTGCATTTCTTCCTTGCGGCGCTTCTCCCGCTGCTTATCCTTGTAGGTGAAAGTGTCCCAGTCCAGCGTGACGCCCAGCGTCCGGTCGCCCGTGAAAGACCGTAGCTCCGGCATCTTGGGCAACTTCAGCAGGGCCCACGCCTTGCCCAGCGCCTCCCAGTCGATGTCGGCGACGCGGAAGATACTGCTGGCCTGGTGCTTGCTGTAGCTGCGGAGCCAGCTGACGAACGCCTTCTGGCCCCGGTCATGCAGGGCCCGGTCGGCGAGCACGGCCTTGCGAGCCCGCTTGGTCGCGGCGGCGGCGTCGGCGTCGGAGACGGTGAGGGGTTTCGGATACGGGACGACCGGCGTCTTGCGGACGTCAAGGAACGAGACGTAGTCCTCCTCGCGGCCCGGATGGAGCAGGACCACGCTCAGACCCTTCCGGCCGGCGCGGCCCGCCCGGCCGCAGCGGTGGATGAAGGTCTTCGGGTCGGAGGGCGGGTCGATCTGAACGACGAGGTCGACCGAGGGGATGTCCAGTCCTCGGGAGGCGACGTCGGTGGTGAGCAGGATGGCAGGCGTGTGACAGTTGAGGAAGCGGTGGAAGTTCTTTTCGCGCACGTTGGCTTGGTGTTTGCCGTGCAGCGGAATCAGCTGGAATTCCTCGCCCAGGATCAGGGGGAGAATGCCCGCGAGGTAGTCGACGCCCGAGCAGGTGGACACGAAGAAGATGGTTTTCTGGGGGGTGGGTTCGACGGAGCGGAGGAGGGCGGGTAGGGTCGCGAATTTGTGTAAGGGTGGGGTGGTGAGGTAGGTCATTTGAAGACTGGTCGCATCATGTTAGCATGTTAACGGTAATGGCAGGGCAAGCGATGCTCAAGTCTTATGTGGTTGATGCACGGAAAACTGACCTGGCCGGTGTCCGCTTATCCTGGGCTCCTGACGTGCCCTTGACTTTGACCATGACCTTGACCGGGTTGCGCAAACCAACTCGCACGATCTGGTCGACTGCCTCGCTGATACTGGCGCTAAAGAGACCGGTGCGCCGTTGCTTGGGCAGTCGACGCAGGATATTTTGCAGTGTGTCTTTGAATCCCAAATCCAGCAGTCGGTCGGCCTCGTCCATGACGAGCATTTCGAACGAAGACTGGGGACAATGTACGTGGGGCGAGGAGAGGAGCTCCAGTAACCGTCCTGGCGTCGACACCAGCACATTCGGAGACCGCTTCAAGAAGGTGCTCAAGTCCTCCGCGGGGGTCGTTGATCCTCCAAGGAGAAGCTGCGGGACAACCTTCAGGGCGGAGGAGAGGTGTTTGGGACGAGGCGCATCGGCGTCTTCGACGGAGTTGAGCACGGAGGCAGATGGAGGGTGAAAGGCAAGCAGCGAGGTCAGGACATTGTAGATCTGAGTAGCGAGTTCTCTGGAATAGATTATTAGCCCATAACCGCAGCCCTGGACCCTACTGAGATGAGACCTACCGGGTGGGCGAGATAATGATTGCGCCGACATGATGCTTCTTGAGAGGCTCCTCCAATCGCAAAAGCTTCTCAACGACGGGGATCAAGAAAGACAAGGTCTTGCCACTGCCAGTGACTGCCTCCACCACCACATCCTTATGCGCCATGAATAGAGGAATGGCCGACGCCTGGACGGGGGTCATGCGCGTGAAGCCCATGGAGGAGACGGCGTCGAGCACCCATTCCGAGAGAGGGGGTGTCACTGCATCCCACGCTCTGGCAGATGTGCCAGGAGGAGGTTTAGGGGCCATGTTGAGTCGGCTGCTTGACGCTCACTTCTCCCCAAAGTAATTTGATAATTGATTTGACACCTCACACCGTCATCGATCTTTTCATCTTCAGATTCAATCCTCCAGTTTTTTTTTCCCTTATCGATTAGATACCGGAGGCGGTGGGCATTTTCTGCCGCAGATACACGTGACCGCCTGCGGATTCGGCGGAAGCCAATCGGTTTCCAGGCTGAAATCGAAGCTGAACGCAAGTCTGAATATCTCCCATCTTCAAATTAATTCATCCTCGATCCTGTTTGCTCTCCTTTTCGTGCAGTGAATTTCTCCTAAATCCTCACTGTATAGACCTTGCCTCTCGAGTGTCATGTCGATTCTTTACTGAGTGTGAAACGTCATGCGCAACGGTGTGTCTGCCTGGTACTGTACATACGACTACACTCGACGCTGGCTGCCATAAGCCACATTCCATCGTCATCGTTGCACCTATTCTTCGTTCGACCTGCCCATCATTGCGTCGTTACAAGCACCCGGCTTCCCTACACCGGGCATTCGCGCTGTCCTCTTCATCTACCTAATTCCGCAACCCTTGTCCGGAGTCATCTGGAATCCGGCCCTTCCACCTTTCGTCATACCCTCGGTCGAGATGTCTACAAACCATGATGCCATTCCCGAGACTCCTCGTGTGATCTCGCCCTCCCCCACCCCCTCAGACCCAAGTTCGAGCTCGCGAGACTACTTCGGACCCACTACGCGCTCTGCTGCGCGTCGACAACAACGACTTGGTGAAGTGGTGGAGGAGACCAACGGCGACGCGGATGCGACTCTCAAGCGCTCACGGGCTCGTTCTCGGAGCCCTCCCAGCCCAGAATCAGCGCGAAAACGCAAACGCAAGTCCAACCCTAAGTTACCGGCTGGGCGAACCAAGTCACCAACAACGAACGGTCATGCCGCATCGAACAATGGGTACCTGTCGCCATTACTCAGACCCAGTGGTGCTTGGGAGAGCATTTCGCGATCCCCTTCTCCTCTTGGTCTCATTCCTCTTCATAGCCGTTATCGCAGCTTTATCCACCGACATGAAATCCCGCGCAAGCTCTTACACGTATCCATCGGCTTCCTCACACTACATTTGTACACACGAGGTATTCAGCCGCTCCAAATCACCCCATGGCTCTTTGGCGCTCTGGTCCCCATTGCTTCTGTCGACATCATTCGCCATCGTTCAGAGACAGTCAATAAGCTATATATTCGCTGTGTGGGAGCGTTGATGCGCGAGACGGAAGTTTCCGGTTACAATGGCGTCATCTGGTATCTGTTGGGCGCATACGCTGTCTTGCGCTTCCTTCCCAAGGATGTCGGTGTCATGAGTGTGCTGCTACTCAGCTGGTGTGACACTGCTGCTTCCACCTTCGGTCGCCTTTATGGCCGACACACCCGTCAGCTCCGCAAAGGCAAGAGCTTGGCGGGCACCCTGAGCGCCTGGCTTGTTGGGGTCGTCACTGCCGCCGCTTTCTGGGGGTTCTTCGTCCCTTACATCGGGACTTTTCCCAATGATCCTGAAGGCTCTTTCATGTTTACCGGACGCCTCAATCTGATCCCCGGCTCAGTCAAGAATCTGCTCGGCTGGACTGCGGATACTTCCAGCGCTGTCCTGTCGGGACCTCTGGCCCTTGGAGTCATGAGCGTTGTTTCCGGCTTGGTGGCTGCCGGTAGCGAGTTCATTGACTTGTTCGGCTGGGACGATAATTTGACGATCCCTGTTCTCAGTGGTGTTGGTTTGTGGGGCTTCCTCAAGGTCTTTGGCTGAGAACGATTAGACTCCAAATCCCTAACTCTTTTGGCGTTGGCCGTATTATTTCTTCCTGTTCCATATCCCCCTTACTATATTTGCTAGAGGACAAATCCCGCCTGACGACCTCTTGTTTCTTTGTCTATATGATGCGCAGCTATCTGTTCATCTTTCCTTGCCTTATTCTCCTCCACGCCTCGCCGATTATTCTACACACTCTTCTTTTGCTATTGTTATTGTTCTCATTCATTCCAGTGGTGACTGGTCAAAGGTCACTTGCGGCCGGGGATCGCCTCCTGACATACATGAAATGGACTGCTTTGTGATAGATGGATCTAGATAGATCTCCAAGTTCGTGATACCTGGGTGCTTACAATCGATACCAACCTCTTCTTACTAATTCATTCAAACATCTCTTCTGTATGCTTAATGCTCAGTGTAATAGATTCAGTTTGGCTACTGGATATATATGTTTTTTATTCACCAAAGCTGTTGTTGTAGATGTGAATACCCGTCTCCTCGAATAGTATACTACATTCTCTTGTGATGCGTTCCTGGTGCTGTTACATCTCGCCTACCAAGCACATTCATTGGTACTCTGGCTCTCAGGTGAATCAGCCCCTGTAACCATTCATTCCACATAGATGTGTACTCAATCAGTGAATTTGCATCCTCATTCATCGGGTGATATAAATCGTATCTATACACACATATAGAAAAGAACCATCTCTTCTCCATTCCTTTCCTTCCTTTCTCCAAGCAATCTTCCATCCTCTTATCAAATCAGACAAGCTCCCCACAATGCTTGATAACCTGGATTCGTTCTCATATGACAAGGCTTCTTTCATGAAACCCAGCTATCAACTAGCATTCGAGCTCCATATCTATCTAGTATACAAGACTCGCATCTGCAGGTCCTAGCAGACGTTTCTTACAGAAGCCCCGAGCGACTAAACTCAGCCATGTATATCTCGTCGTTCGAGGTATGCCATACGTGAAGTTGCCTGCTCGCTAAGGATTTGGGACCCTTCCTGTCTCTGTATTGCGCCAAATCATCAAGCTCCTCCAAATTAAACTTCAAAGCGGGAACACAAAGCATGAAGAGAGAGAATGGGCGTGCCCCAAGCGAGCCACATCATGCGGCGTGATTTTCATTATTGGATGGTAATGGATGGCGATGAGCTGGCGCGGACAGCTTAATCACAGGAATCGTTCCAAGCCTCCGGACGCCGCTGGCGCAAATGTTCTAGATGGAGGATGATCGAAGGATTACAATAACTAGTAAGTGCTTTGTCTTCATGTGAGCTAGCGATGTTGATGGCTAAACCGAAAGGGACAGGGAGAGAACCGAATCGCGCGAAAAAGGGTTGCAAAGAAGGAACGTATCGCAAAGAAGAAGAGTCCCCATCTTGAAGAGGTAGCCTGCGCGAATTCAGCGGTCCTTTCAAACGTCTCATGCAAGCCATCGATGAGAGGAAAAAGAACCGTTGCTCTGTCACCGAGTACATAGGACATAGGGCTGTCGAGCTCTCAGACTGCTAGATGGTTGGCCATTCTACAGCATGAAGCTGTGCGACGCGTGGGTTTACCTGGCCCTCAAACTCCTTCCACGACGAAATCTTCCCGTCACGCAGGATCGGGGTTGTCTTGCTATAGGGCTGCGTGAGAATGCAACCACCAAGCAGGTAGTGATCGTCGGATCTCTTCGGAAAAGAGGATGAGTTAGCCGAAAGAACCTCAGGCCTGAGCCATTGCAAAGACCCTATAACCACATCGAGAGAGTAAAGTGTGTACCACATACTTCCACAGACATCCGACAACATCTGAAATCCCGAGTTGAGGGCTGAGTTCCTTCGCGGCGGGATTCAAGTTTATCAGATTGTAATGCAGCAATACTAACGTGACTAAAGCCATGGACAGTCCCGCACCTGAAGCACTCGTAGGAAGTCGCACTGGCGATGCTTGACATATTTCTGGACGTCACCAACATTCAGGCGCATTTGACAAAATAAGAGGCCAATTGTGAGGTCTGGGATGCGCGTGCCGTGCAGTATAAGGCCCCTGACGTACGGTTCACACGTCATAGCTGTATGTATAGCGTTGTGTGTCATCGTGACAAGCGACCAAAGCTCCACCGAACCATCTCGAACAGAATGGACCGGACAGCGATATACTCCAGATACTTGAGAACCCGATGGACCAAGGGTACAGAGAGTGAGTCACCCCACAACATAGGAAGCACCCCGGCCAAACAATCAGCACAGATACTCTAGAAACCAGGAGCTGCCTCGACCACAGCTATCCCAGGGACGCTTCTCCTTGAGAGGTCGGGTACCATGCCTGTTGACTACGGGTCTCCCGAGGCAGTCACGGTTCCTAGTAAGTAAGTGGTCGTACTGGAGGCAATTGCCGTGCCTGTTCTGTCGTCTACTGAAGCTAACATGTCGTCATCACAACCTGCAGTCTTACTCTGCATACTACCCACAGCAGCGAACCGCTTCCCCTTGGCATGCTCAAGAAAACTACAGACGATAATCCTGCATGTTGATTGGGGAGTCGAGTATTCATTCAAAGTGATTAATGCTTCAGCACGCCACTCAGTGGGAGATATGCCGGGATATATATTCATGTCTCAAGATCCTAGAGGCTCTACTCCGATGGCGAAGCCAACCATTACCGATCCCATTCCAATCATCGACCTGGACTGGGTTCCAACAGTGAAGTTGAAGAGCGGTGCAACCGGCTCAAGAGTATTACGGAGGACAGTCTAGTCCTTGCATATCTCCTTCCGTCTGAACGGTGTCTTTATTCTCCGGTATTTTCGATGCGGACCACCTTCTCATCCGCCTTACTTAGGGTTTGGCCGGGATCGGACAATTCCCGCTACTCTGTCCCTGTTTGTTCTGTTTGTTTCCATGAAATATATTTCGATGCACTCTACTGTACAAACATCAGACAATAGAGCCGGAGAAGTACTATCTCTTTGAAGGGATATTCTCGTCCACTAAGCTATCCTTTGTAGAATTCGCACCTCCCTCGTCTGATTTACATATATTAAGAGGCCGAGGAAGGTACTTGCCTAAACAAGGAAGGAGGGAGGGTGGTGCGGGGGCCTCATAGACCCCAGGTGGATTGTTCTTTTCCAGAAACGGTGCGGACAAGCAGGGCACGGCTCAAGTTGCAAGATGAGGTGGAACGTACACAGTTGATCGCCCGGCTGGTCCTCTTTCTAAAGCAAATTCTTCTACCGTCATAAACGCCTGCTCAATCGGCGTTGATATTTTCAATTGATTATGTCTAGAATATTGCTTGTTTATCTTGACTATATGTTTGATGCATCTTATACCTTAGGCTGTGGTAATCGCGTGCGATTGACTGTCGCAGCCCTGAGTAGACCGCAGTCCATTTGTTGACTGGTATCTTCCAGGTTATTTCAGGTAGTCTTGAAGCGGCGCGTCGCTTGTCACTGGCATGGATGCGGCATAGAATCTAATTTGGAGCCGGAACTTGGCCGGAACATCGTCTGGTGAAGCCTTTTGCAGGCGGCCTAATTCTCTTTCCATTTTCAGGAACTCGGGTGAGACAATCTAGGCGTGTTTGCTGACCAAGATCGCCAAAGCAAGGATAGTCGAGTAGTTGTCCGGTCTTGTTGTCTCGTGCTGTCCCATAGAACAAGACTACCAAGGCTCTAGTCTTCATATATACTTCTGAGAGAGGCCATCATGTATATGGGAATCTTCCCGTCTGCCCAGCCGCAGTACGGTATATCATCCAAGTCCAAGGAAACAAGGGAATCCTCAGCGAAGATTGCAAAGAGGGGAGACAAAGCTGTCATTTCTGGTATGGAAAATGAAGCGGCAGGAACAATCATAGCTCTAGCCACGGCGCAAGTCGCTGCTTCACTCCGTAGTATAGGCAACCGAGTCTTCAATAGCCTTGCGTAGATCACGATGCCGAGCACAGTGATCAAAGCGATTTCTGTGACCAATCATGTGAGAGAGAGGAATCAGTGTCCTTATCGTAAGGCTGAAACTAAGAACCGGAATCATCTGTGATCTTTGCGAGCTGGAGGCGCTTGTCGTTTCCAATTTCCGATCGTTCCTTGGTCAAGAATCCATACTTCAAGATGCTTCCCTGCTTCATTCCAGGGTCGATGACTTTCTTTCGCGGGCCCGTCTTGCGTGTGGTTTTTTTCGGTGCGTTGGCTTTCTCCGCTTTCTCCGCTTCTGCCTTCTTCCAATTTTCCACAACATCTGGAATCCCTAGTACTGCCAAGGTCTTGGAAATCCAGATCTTGTCGGTACAATAAGGATCGTACCGCTTTGTGACACGCTTTTTGATGGTTGTTTGGGGAGCAGGATCCGTGGTGTTCTCAAGCTCCTCTTCGTCTTCGTCGGCGGACGCTGTGGTTCCCGGCGAAGGCAAGGGGGGATTCGGTTCTTCGGCCATGATGTCCAAGCCAACGACGTCGACGGGAACTATGTCAACCTGATATTCGGTCATACCATCTGTGCTATAGCTCTCTCGGCTCTTGTTGATTTTCTGCAGCATCGGCACTTCGCTGCTAGAAAGCTTTGGCTGGTTTGCGGAGAAGGCTGAGGCCTGTTTCCCAAGGCGGAGTCTGTAGCAAACAAGAGGTTCGGCCAGTAGTTTGGTTACCTTTCTAGCTCCAGAGCGGTAGTTCCAGTCAAAGGTGTCAGCGGTGAACCTTCTCAGCTGCACCGCGTCAACCTCTTGGTCCCATGCATTCCTCAAGCGGTGCCGTAAAACATCGATCTCGCTCTTTGTCGACACCACCGGCTTGGCGTAATATGAGAGAATGGTTTTATCCGGGAATGTCTCCGGCACTCGGACAACCTTGTGCTTGGTTTGAAAGTAGCCGCTTTCGTTCTCCTCCAGCTCATATTGCAGTCTTTCTCTCCACTCGCTCAGCCGCACCTCCATGTCGGGACCATCCGAATCGATAATCTCTAACAAATCTTCTCCGAAGCCCGCTCTAGCAATCTCGCCAGCCAGCTTGCTGCCACATTTCGGAACACCAGAGGGAAGATAATCACCACCGCTTAGCATAGCAAACAAGATCATGCCCGCACGATCCAGCATCGCATTCGAAAGCGAATTGAGCATCACATTGGAAGGGGACGCAGCGCAGTCCATGCGATAGCAAGTGACATGGGTGGCCGCCGCATTACCGGTCCCGCTCTCTTTCGAGAAGTTCATGACCGTAAATGTTGACCCGAACATGAGAGTATCGACGTCATTGCTCATGACGGCATCAACTACTCCGACTTTTTGCAGCCTCGCGCACTCGGCTTCAGCCTCTCCGGGCGCATCGTGGCGTGGAAATCGGAACAAATCCACCATGATCTTGGACAGGCGAATGATCGGCGCACTTCCGTAACTGCGCGCAGCCACGGCGCGACCTCGTTTGAAAGGTGGCTTATGCTGTC